GGTAATTCGAGTGCCTTCTGACCCAGCAAACACCAGCCTCCTCTGCTTCCAAGTTATTGCTCTTTCTACGCCTTTTCCTAGGGAAAAGCAATTCCCATCCATCAGCAGTGCTGTTAGGTAATTGTAGACTCGGGACTAAATGGTCTTGATCGCCCACCAATCCCTTTCAGAGGGTAATATGGATTGTTTTGCTTACTTCCAAATACTCACACAAACCCCGCTGTGTTTGGGGGCTCCTCCTTTCAGTGGGTCATCTGCCCCAAAGTCCTATCCTGTTGGCACCATGGATGCCCACTTATTCAACTACTTGGCCTGACAAAAGAAGGCTTAACAGGAGCCACCCAAAAGAAAAACAGCTCAGTCCCATATCTGAAATCCGAAGGTGCTGAGCACCTCTGGGATCATTCTTTGGATAGGGGAGTTTGGAGCTGCTCAGCAATTCTGGAATGGTTGCTCAAGGACTAAATGACATGAGATGCACATGGTGAACCTGTAATTAATTCCTAATTACTAGGGTAAGATCCTATTTTCTGGTGTTTATCCCTTCAAGGGCAGAACATGCTATTCCTGAGTTTAAAAGAAAGCTAATGTAACCATGTGCATGCATGGGAAAGGGCCATAGCTTTGTGTTAGCAGCCTGGCTGGGAATGATGGGAGTTGTAGGCAAACACATCTGGCTGGTGCAGGTTGGAGAAGGCTTCTACAAAGAGACCCTCAACAGCCCCTGCGAGTACATCAACTAGTTTCCCTTTAATTACACCATAATCACTTGTCCAGAGTGTTGATGTTATTCAATGTTTTTTCAGTTGTATCTTCTGTTGCAAGATTCAGTACTCTTAAACTTCTAAAAAGAAACATAGTCACGGAAGTGTTTCCTAGCATATCTGTTCTAAAGAAATACTGCTTGATGGATTATCTGCAGACTAAGGAAATACAGTAAGATTTCAAGATAAAATGCACCTCCAACGGTGCTTAACAGGTGGTCCTTCTTGGCCCTCGGGAACTTTTGGGACAGGCCTTTGGGCAGATATCTGGGACTCTGCTAGGCAGAATGGGCATGGGGGACCCCAAACAGAGCAGGGCTGGCTGACCAGATTGTGAAGTCGGCCAAGGGAACTTTGTGTGGGGTAAGACCATAAAGTCTAGATTCCGAATTTACCACATGACACTGTTGCTCCATGTTGTGAGCAAGCAGTGCTTGGGAAAGCAAATTGTTTGGCTGCCCTGAAAATTCTGTGAGCAAGAAAGGCTTCCTCTGGACGCAATGCTTGGCAAGTTGTCTGCTTCCTGATTTTCAGACTGAGGCCAGGGTGATCTCACTCTTGCAGAATTTTTGGACGGGTAAGATCTCCACGATCAAAACCTTTTGCAAGGCAAAATACTCTGTTAATAAACCTTTTGATAAGTACTTTGAAGGCAATGGACCAAATTTTGACCCCTGCTAGAAGGTCTTCAGATAAGTGGCTCAGATTTAGACCCCTCCCTGCTTTCATTCCATTTCCAGTTCCTGGGATGAAATATCTGGACATTAATGTGTAATCAAGCCAGGTGGCTTGTTCAAAGTCTTTTGTTAGTCCTCTGTCAATATTTATCTTCTAGACTGATTCCTTTACACAGGGTGTGGACTTTTCAGTTTCCAAAAGATGGAGCTTTACAATGAATTCACATATTTTTACAGAGGCACAAGTGAAATTTCAGAAGCTGTTTAATCCATTGCTTTCTTCACTCAATGACGCATATCAATGCAAACTGCTTTGGGAAGGGAATCCTGCGCTGGGTCATTATAGATTTTTGTGTGAGAGTCTGTGTGCAGGGCAGAGGGAATTGCTTCATCTGTGTTTGCCAGTCCCCTTTCTTTGAAACAAAGGCATAACCTACACATCCAGTTCTAATAAATGTAATGTGCAGAAAGCTGACCTGGCTTCTTGATTTAATGGTCTGTTGTGATGTATTTCCTAGTGCTTTGGAGGGTACGTGGCTAGTTCATATTGCAGTCAAGAATAAACTATTCTCAGTTCTCAGAAACAAAAGGGCATTTTTCATTCTTGTGGCTTTTGAGGAGCTGTAGAAACACATTGCAGAAATGCACAGGGTGTTTTAAAAATGTGGCATAGTAGAGCAGGAATGGGTGACTTCCAGGGCCACATTCTGCCATGGGTGATCTTTTGGAGGGTGCATTTTAACAGTGTGCAAAGTGGCTCGTGGTGGGTGGGCCCAGCACCGAAAGTGGGTGGGTTCCTCCTTTCCACTTTCTGCTACTTTTCTCTCCCCGTTCCATATCGCTTTCTCTCTCTCTCTTCCTTCGCCTCCAGGAGGCTGTCAGGAAAGAATGATTGCTAATGCTAGATGCCTGAACCCAACCACAAGCCTCTTGAAATTAGGCCATGGAGAATATGCACACGCCTACAGTAGACATTTCGGAAATCATGCATGGCCTGGGCAAACTAGATAGAGATTTCTGTCTCCCCTAAGATTTGAAGTCAAGATCCTCTAATTAAGGCTCAGTGGGTGACTTCGAGCTAGTCACTGGCTTTCAGCCAAACCTACCATGTGGTGAGGATAAGATGGAGAGGAGGAAGCCTATGCAGGTCACCCTACATTTCCTGCAGAGGAAAAAAGGGAGGCTATAAGTGAAAAGAAATAAAGTTCACATTCTTACATTGGTCTGATGCAGCAGTGCTATTTTCATATAAAATGGATGACAGTGTGCCCAGCAAATTATTCTTATGGAAAGTGAACTCTTACTAATTCAGTGTCACTTCCAGTCACTCCACAAATTCTATCCCCAGTTTATATTTCCCAGCCCAGGGTCCAATGCATCCCATCTCTCCTTCCTCACTCCTTGCCTTTTGCATCATCAAATCTCAGGGAATAGTTGATATTCTATGCAAAAACAAAACAAAAAAACAAAAAACTGAATCAAACAACTTCCAATGTGAATAAACCTCAGGGATTACCTAAATCGGGTGTAGAGCCTCAGGCCTGCAGATGTGGTTCCCAAAAAATCCACATCTGGCTTGCCAGCTTTTTCCCCAGGCTAGGAGATACACAGTCTTCCCTGACTCAGGGCAATGACTAACAATTCTGAGGCCAGCCTACTTCAAGTGTGATATAGACTAGAAATTTTGTAGGGCAGAGTTTGGATCGTATACTGCAAAGCCCTCCCCACCTTGCCTTCCATAAGTGTTCAACTACAACTCCCATCATGCGTGCCGTGGCCATGCTGTCTGGGGCTGGTGGGAGTCATAGTCCAAAACTGCCGAAGGACACTTGGTTGAGGAAGGCATTGCACTATAAGGTAAAGGAGAAAGTTTGAGAATGCAGGGCTCGGAGCACAAAACATGTGCAAGAGGCAGGTGAACTGTACTGGATTTGTTCAGGTACAGAACATTGGGAGTTGAGTGCATGGGAAATGTGAGATTGCCATAGCAAATGTACTTCCTTCTAAAGCCCACAAACAAGAAACAAGCAAGCAAGCACCCTTCTAATGCTGTTTACAAGAGGAGCAACGCTTTTTTGTTCTGCCCAAGAGCCTGGCTTCCGTGTGACTGGAATAGTCTGCAGGCATTTCTAAAAGAGAGCCAGAGTGGTGTAGTGTATAAAAGTGCAGGACTGGGACTCAGAGATCTGGGTTCTAGTCCCCACTCAGCTCACTGGGTGACTTTGGGCCAGTCACAGACTCTCAGCCCAGCCTACCTCACAGGGTTGTTGTGGTGGGGATAAGATTGAGAGGAAGTGGAGAATGATGTAAGCTGCCTTGAATTCCTTGAAAGGAACAAACGTGGGATGGATAATAATAATACACATGAAAATGCACTTCAAAACAAATGTAAAGGTGTCCAAAGCTGGCTGGCACCAACTTTTGGTGCTCGTAGACAATTTTCAAACTTCCATAGTCTAGGCAGCGCCCACTGCTATCTGCCACCAGGTGGATCCCCAAATCCCACTATGAGGCATTACGGTATATGTAAATAGCGAATAATTCCAGCCATCCAAAATGCTCTAGAGCAGTGGTTCCCAAACTGTGTTCCATGGAACCATAGGGTTCCACAAAAGCCTTCCAAGGATTTTGCAAAAAATCTCAAAAATCAAATTTGAAATGGATTTTAAAATAAAACCACACAGAGCCAACTATTAGTCAGTCTGCATCCAAGCAGCAAACAAGGAAACACATTATGTCATTTGGTTCCTATGACTTTATTGCATGGTTCTGGGAATAATAAAAAGAATACATTTGGGATATGACCATAGAATCACTTTATTCATTCGTTGTATTTAAAATGTTTTCTCTTTATTTCCAAACCGACTGCATTATGCAAAGCACACAGGCAATAGCAGCAGATGAAAGAAGGAAGAACGTTGTGGGTTCACAACGCTTAGAAAAATCAGGGATAGAGTTCGGGGGGAAAACATATCTTCAGAAAGGTTCCATGACCGAAAAAGTTTGGGAACCGCTGCTCTACACAGTGATAGACATCGTGGGAACATCATGGGATAGACGCCATGGGAAAAATAAATGGTGGCTGCCAGAAAACCTTACTAGGTCCCATGGATAATGGAAAGGGGAGCGGGCGTGCCAGAAGGCGCTGCGCCCAGGTTCCCCTCCAGGGTGGCAGGGGCCCTACTGGCCAGTCCAGCATACTGGGCCGCTGTGCATAAGGGACTGCGGAGGATCCTGGCGCCGAAAGCACCCTCCTGGCCGCGCATGGCCGCATCGCCACACGCGCTCCAGGCTCTGCTTTCTGCGCGCCGACGGGGCGCAATAAGCGGCGCGCAAGGACGCGGACACAAAAAAGGAGGAAGCGAGGCAGAGGAGGCGCGCCGCCCGCGCCCTCGCGAAATGGGAAGTGGGCGGGGCCCCACGCGGATCTCCTCCCCTCCTTTTCCTCCCCCCCCTTCTTCCTTTTCCTCGCCTTCATTGGGCCGTCCTTGGATATGCAAATGAGATTTTAATCGGCGCTGCCAAGCCGCTGGAGGAGGGAAAAAAGCATTGAAAGGCCAAGCGGCGGCACCACCGCGCGCCGCTGGCACGAGACCGCGCGCGGCAGGTACGGGGCCGCGGGGGCGCGCCGGGAGTGGGGGGGGGGGGGCTCCTGGCGGCGGCGCGGCGCCCATCCCGAGCATCCCCTTCCCGCGGCGCGGCGCGGCGGGGCTGGGCTCGGCGGGGCTGGGCGGGTGCGTCCTCGCTGTGCCCCTCTTCGCCCCTCCGTGGCGCCGGGTCCCCCGCTCCCCGCGTCCTTTCCAGAGAGGCCTTCTCCTCTCCCTCGCCCCGAGGTCCTGCCCTAGCTGGGGTGGAGCAGGTGGACAGGCAGGCCCACGGGGGCGGCCTCTTCTTTCCTCGGTCCCTTTCCCGGTGTGGAGGATGCGTCGGGGGCCATCAGCCCCCCTCGGGCTGGTCCTTCCCCTGAGATGCCCCGTCCCTCTCTTCGGGGGACCCGGCCACTTTCCCTCCTAGAGAGAAGGGCTCCACTGCCTGTTTTCTTTTTATCTGGGGCTGGGGAGAAGATGCTTCTCTCCTCCTGGGCCTTCCCTTCCTCCTCCTGTTTCCTAAACTGCCCCCAGATGGGAAGGTCTGCGATGGGGCATTGCGCCATGTGCCCCTGAAAAGGACCCCCCCCCCCAAGTTATTGCCTTCACGAGGCACCTGCCTCTCCATCCTAAGAAAGACCCTTCCTAGTCATTAACTTCTGTTATTCGTCCCCAGACCCGGATTCTGCCAGCAGCTTGCTTTTCATTTCCTGGTGGGGCGGCTGTGGATGTTTTCTGCTCCTCGGGGCTTCATGCAACTCCTGCTGTTTGGCCATGTGAAGTCCGCCATCCAAACCAGGCGGCTGCTTTGCTGTGCTTTGGCAGATGCTCTGGTAAGAGCTTAATTATTCCGAAGAATAAAGGGAGATGGATGCTGGAGAACTTGTGAACCAATTTCTGCTTGATTGCAACAGACTGCTTGAAAAGGGACCAGAAATAATGGCTATAGGAAATCGAATATTATATTTCATCGGCCCACCTCCTTCTCTTAGCTTTTGTTAGGTTGGCAAAAGGGGGATTAATGTTAGGGTTCTTTTGAAATGGAAGGTGCCTTTTTCAGTATTGTTTGCATCTGAGCATAAGAAAAGTATCTCCAGAAGGTGCTGGAGAAAATTAGGTTTGTTTTTAGTAAGTAACCTGATACATTGTAAGCATTGCAGCTCTCTCTTTGAAGGATAGTTTCCTCTTGTAAACCTGGTTTTCTTTCTTTGTTTCTTTGAGACAAAGTATATGAAGGAAAAGAGTTGGCTTCCTGTGGTAACAGTTCCCAAATAACATTTTTAGTTCTATAGGAGTTCTTTGTGTGTGTTGCCTTTCAATAGTCTAATTTTGAATACACTCTTACAGTCTTGAAGCTAACTGGTGGTAGAAGAAACCATTAATAATGACGGTCCCTTAGAGCATAATTCTATGCATCTTTCGACAGAAAAAGTCCTAAAACTGCTGACTGAGGAATGCTGGGAACTGTAGGATTTTTTTTTCTGTTCAAATATGCATAAGGTTATACTTTAAGTGACTGTATTAGATTTTAAGTCTGTTTTAACTAATGAGGATATTCTTAATTGTGTTATTACTGTTCATGCTCGGCCAGAAATATACTGCTTTTCCTTGTTATTCTTTGAACCAGAATTACCTCAACGTTGCCACTTATTGTAAATTTGATTTTGGGGTAGTGTTTGCAGGCTCAAAATAGGGAGGCAACATTTCCCCTTCCACATCTGGCACCTAAAAATTAGTTTTCATTTAGTATCTTAGGCATCTTCTTGTATATGTGTATATATATAAGATTTGTATATAAGAGCAGGGAAACATCAAAACCTGTCAATATGAATGTAGTACCAACTTTACTAGTGTAAGAGCCATTTACCATAGTAATCATGGGAACCAGAGAGACTGGTATTATCACTGGATTTTCTCATGTCCTCATTTTTAGTGCACAGCCATGTATAATTGGGGGATAATCGTAATAGAAGACTGAGAGTATTATTCTTGACATCATTGTGGACTTTTATATGGGTCTGTATGCTTGGTTCTTTGTTTAAGGTTAATTAACACAGGTGGTTCTGTAACACACCCTTCCTTGTGTCAACATAACTTTTCTGTTTGTAGATGAGGGCTGAGTTTTAGACCAGCAAAAAGAGCGTGTGTATGTATCATTTGTTTCCATAAACATGATGACCTATGTAAGCTGAAACAGACCTTCTGGGAGGGCAACATTTTAGTTTTCCAACAGTTGCAGGGAAAAATGTTTAGGGCAAATATACCATTATTCAATTCCAGCTGTTTTCTTGGAATTAAACGGCAAGTGAGCTTTCATTTTTGAAGGATCACTTCTTATCCAAGTCTGCAGACCATATATGTATGGTTTGCTTTTTTGGTATGAACATGTGCGAAGGGACTCACGTGCTCCAGTTTTCTTGGCTTTAATAAGTGATCATTCCCCCCCCCCCATGTGTATGTGGTCAAGGTGTCAGTTAAGCAGGCAAATATCTTAGATTTATCATGGTGATCATGCAGTTATCGCACAGCAAATAATAACTACTCATATATTTCTACATTTGACAGATGTAGGCTTTTGACAGATGTAGGCTTCTCATGTTAGATGCAACTCAATGTTTCATTTCACTCTAGATCTGGACTACAAAAATCCTAAATGCTGGAAATTTGATGCTGGCTAGTAGAAACAGCTTGAGTTATAATAAAAAATAATAATAATGGCAGTTGCTTCACTCTTAGGCAAATATTGTCTGTGGATTTTTTTTGAAAAATGGAAACATTTGGCAAGTTGCCTTCAAATTGACCTCAGCTAAAGCTGCCTTCCAGAGACCATTTCTACGTAGGCATCTACATGTGAAGTAGGAAGGATTACAAAGTACTCCATTGATTTTGTATGCACTAATTATGAATGTTGGTTACATGCTGGACACAGATCGCTTGATTTTCTCATAGTGGCAATAATGTTGCTGTTTATACTAGGAAAATGTAGCTTATGTCCATGTAGGTATAGATAAAATACCTTTTCCTCATGGATCTGCATTCAAATTCCCTAAGGCTTTGCTTTATAGATGATATTTCCCTATATATGATTTATTTATTTATATATGATTTAATTGTTTATATATGATTTGTTTATATATGATTTAATTATTAGAAGAGCTGGTGTGTTCAGCTTTAGGGGTTTTTTTATACATGCATCTTCTGTATTATCTTTTTCCTGCTAGACTTCCCAGAGGCTCCATGAAGATGGTTGTTCCTGGGAGCGCCCCTGTAATTCAACCAGACCATAATCTTGGAAATGAACTGGGCTGTGTCTCAACAGAGACCTCTGTGATGGGTCCAGGTGCAGAACCAATGGCTGATCAGGTGGGCCCTGAACTCGAAGAGGTGCGAAAACTCCAAGAACTTGTGAGGAGACTTGAACTCCAGAATCAACAGTTGAGAACTAGGAGCTTCCAAAGTGCACCAGAGGCAAAAATGCTGAGCCAAGCTGGTGCTGGAACGAATAATTGTAATTCCAGGCTCAATGGGATGGAAATGAATAATAGCATCAATGTACTGATAGATAAGCAGGAATTACAGATAGTGGCCGATCTGCGCTCCGCTCTGAGTAAAACAAGGTCAGAAGGAAGCAGGAGTGATGAGGTCTTCGAAAAGGACGTAGGGACGACAACTGTGCAGCTCCACTGTGCTTCTGAGGAAAAGAGTTTCACCACAAAGTTTGTGAGCAATACAGAACTGCAGGGCAGTGATGCTAGCACCAACAGTTCCTCTGACTGGGATTATGGCAGCTCAGTGCTGGAAGACTTCACTGCTGGGACTGAGCCAGGGCTGGCAGTGAGTGAAAGGAGCACTGGTCGAGAAGGGCCCTTGGATGAGACAACTTTGGATGGAGTGGAAGTGTTGGAGCTTGAGAATGGCAGCGATGAAGATGACAGCTGGTAGGTACCATGAGATTCGGGGGGTTGTAGCTCAGAATGATTCTTGTTAAAAAGTAGGGTAGAATCTTGATTTCTGAAATGGTTTTGTTTTTTAATTGAGGCAGAAGAACTGCCGTTCTAAGACTCCAAAGAGATTAAATCAGAATTCCTCAATGCCAGCAACTTTTCATAGATGTAAAGTCAGTGCATACATGGACTCTGATTCAGCTTAGCTGTGGAGGCAGGTGGCTCAAAATAGAGTTGGAAGACACACTCACAAAGAAACTCACAAAGGTGTGCCCTCACTGGCCCTCAGAGTTAATTAACACAATAGGAAGACAAGGAGATGGGCAAGTCATTTCTAACAGCTATTGTGAAGGAGGAAGAGAGGGGATAACAGTGGAGCTTTCTTGGAACTAATTCAAGAGATAGATAAACGGAGCTAGAAGAAGCTAAGGAGTTGTTTCCTCTCTCCTTTGAGAAGCCTGGAACACTTCACATACAAGATCCTGCCAAATGTTTTGGGAAGCTATTGCCAGTTCTTTTCCTTCCTGTTCTTTGTGTTTGGTGCATAATTTTTTATGTGTACACCAAAAAAATGTAACATATGAAGTGGCCTTAAACTGTCAGTCTTGAAGCGCCTAATGTTTAGAATTTTTGCCCAAACAGATAATTAGGTTCAAATATTTGAATTGGTTGTTGTAAACCATCCAGAGAGCTTTGGCTATTAATAAAATTAATAATGTTAATAAAATAATAATAATTGATGGTGAGGCCTAATTATCTGAAGGGTTTTTTTTTCCCTGAGCAGAATATGCTTGCTGTAGAGAGAGTTGCATTTGTGCAAGAAATATTTGGAGGACGGACAGTTGTAAAAACCTCAAGCATTTTGTGAGAATTCATAGGCTATATATTTCTGTGAATGTGGTTCACATTGGTTATTGATCATATGTCTAATAATTTGTAAAAGGATTTTATATTTCCGATAGGTGTGGGTCATGCTACTTTTCTACTGAACAGATATCCCATGATCCATTACTTTCTTACAGAAGTCTGATTTTGAACTGAAATTCTAGGCTGTTCCATCTTCATAATTCATAAGTATAGCGCTTTATGTGGGGATCACATGAGCGGAGCCAGCTGGAGCCAGGGGTCAGACTAAATGGCCTGGGAAGCCCCTTCTGACATGTTCCTGTGTGTATCTAGTTTATGTTGGGTACTTAATCAGGCAGTCTGTAAAGAGGGATAGGCTGAACTGGATTCTGTTTGCTAAATTAGTATGTTAAACTTTTCCTTCTCTTTAAGGCTGTATGTCTCTCCAAGAAAGTCATCAACAGATGGAAAAGAATCTGCCCTCAAATGGTGTAGGCAAGTTTTGGACCACCCCAGTCCTGAGACGGAGGCAGCTTGCCGTACTCTCCTCAGCAGACTTGACCAAGGTAAATGAGTGGGTTATATGTGAAAGGGACAATAATTCCATTGTTTACCTTGTCACAGGAATTTGAAACACTTGATGTTAAAATTAGCTTGGACCATTCGGCCCAGCTCCTGCTGATTTTTTGACATTTTGCAACAGAATGGAATTCTGTCAAGAGTTTGGATTTCTTGATCCTTCTGCATTTTCTTGGTGGAATTTAAGACAGATTGCATTAGCACTATAGGTTGGGCAGTGTGCCAAGGAGATGAACTTTCTAAGCTTGTTGTGGGTAAGAGAGTTTACACAATACTTGAGGCTGTGCTGTCATAAATAGAACATGACTCCTGTCTTCTCATATTCACAGTAATCTTATGTTAAATGTGAAACTCTGTGAAATTCTCTTTTCAAATCTTAATCATTTTATTTAAAGAGCCTTCTTGATACGAGTAATGTAGTGTTCCACATCAAACAGATTTTTCTAAACAAAAGTAATTCTGACTCTTCAAATGATACACGTGCCAGTAAAACAGGACTGTTTGGTATATTTATTATTTAAAACTAAAATGCCTTTTTATAATTAAAACTATTAAAACTATGTCTAATGAAGCTGTAAGCTCATGAGCCCTCAGTAATTTTAATTTATGTTTGCAAGTTGGGGGAACAGAAAAATAAAATTGAAAATGGAAGCTGTCAAAAGTATAGTGAACAAGAAGGAAAGCTTTATTATCTACTCTTAAGAACACTGTGTAAACCTCAACATTCTTATATAAAAACAGAATAATAGATTGGATCCAAACTTAGAAAAGACCAATTCAAATTAATGGCACTTAAGTTAGTTAGGATTAAACTACCTCACTGATTTCAGTGAGTTGACTCTTCAGTATCATTGGCCTCATTTAGACAACATGACAAGCAACTCTGCATGGTTATTGTGCTTCTGTCAACCTGACAGATGATCAAGTAGTTTCTGTCTTATTGTGACTTCCATTTTCTCTACTCAGTCATCCTGTTGTTGGCACATCAGCCTCTGAACCTGAAATTCAATCCCAAAGTCCATTGCTCCCTGCCTGTATGGACCTATATCTTCCTCATTGGTCCACATATAGAGGCTGGAGTGGCTTACGTGGTTGCTGCTCTTTCCAGAGGACTCTGTGGTAGATGCATAGTAGAGTTGGAAGGGGCCTGGAAGGCCATTGGGTCCAACCCCCTTTCAGTGCAGGACTCCAAGTTAAACCATCTATCTCAGATGACTGTCCAGTTGCATAATGCCTCCTGACATTATTTGGGCAGCCCTAGGAATATTTTGGGCTGGGACTCCAAAGGCTGAGCCCCCATCCCTGTCACAGCCGGTCTGGAAAGAAAAACCCCAGCTGCTTCCTTGAGGTTGCAACTGAGCCTCAGAGAGAGGAGGAGGCTGGGTCCGTTGCCTCGTGCCGACCTGTCTGCACCCTGGCCCCCTTCACTGTTGAGTGCTTACCTTAGGGGGCTGCTTCGTGCAGTGGATGTGTGCATCAGTGGCACAGGAACTGGATTTCATCCGTAGGGCACCATCCCCTGTGGTGACCTGTAACCCAGAGTGCAAGGGTGAGAGCAGTGCAGAGGAAAGGAGTGTATCTGCACTTCTCCTGCAAAAGACAAAGCCCAGCTGATTTTGGTTGTCTTCGTCTTTTGTCCTTCCTGGTGAGAAGTAGGGGCCGAGGCACTGCTGGACCTCCTTGTATCCTGGTGGAGTCGCCTCCCCTCCCTCTCCCTCAGAAGCACCCCCCCAACCCACACACACACACACACACACAAAGTGCTGGCTCCAAAGCCTTCTAGTCACCACAGGAAAAAAGCAATACTGGCTGTGAAGATCAAGAGGGGAATTTGAGGTAGATGAGAAGCAAGAAAAGTCAGAGACCATACTATATAAATGGTGTGCAAGGACGATATGCTTTCAGACTCCTACTTTTAGATTTCTCTGTGCTTTGAAGCCCTGTATTTTGCAACACTGAAATGCATATCAGCCGTGTTACCAATATTTTAAAAATGTTTCTTTAAGTGTTTTACTCTAAAAGGCAATATTCCATAAGAGGGTTTTCTTTTTCCAGACTTCCCAGATTTTTTTCCATTTCTCCCTGCTCTCAGGTTTTCCTCAGTCTTTCCTTTTCCACAGCCCTGCTCTTGTACCAAGGCACAGGAGTTGTGGTTAGCCTAAATACAGCAAGCTGTAGATATAGTCAAGGCTCTGAGTGGCGAGAGTGAAACATACACCCCTCCAAACCTAGTTTTGTCACTTTGCATCATATCCAACTGCTCAGAGAGGCGGACATGCAGTATAATTCCTGGCTTGGGAGTGAACGTTACGGTTACTATTTTCAAAATGGCATTAAGTGGAATTGCAACAACTTCCTTTTCAGCCATTAAACTACCATGTCTGCAGTTCCTAAAATTAGTAGGAAAGTGTGCACAGACATAAGGACTTACCTTTTTATTTTGTTTATGTTTCTGCTGTTTTCCATTTGTATGACTGAGGTGGTCTCTCAAGCATGCAGTTAGCTTTCAAAGACTCATTGTGTGTGAGGCACAATTCTGCATGGAGGGATTTCAAGGACAAGATGCTTCAGAATAAGGCTTCATTGTTCCTTACACTAAAAATGCCCGTTCAAACTCTCATTGCTAAACCGTCTTAGATTTCAGCCATGGCTAACAATAGGAAATCTTTCTTTGATGTTACTTTCTATGCCAAGCATCATGCTGAGTTTTTATGGCGGGGTCATTCAATTGTAGCATGTCTTTCAAAACTACTTATTGCATGCCAACTTAAAGTGCGTTAAGGAAGCATAGCAAGGAAGACCAAGGCCATGCCCCTCCCTTGCAGCGTGATTCATGGAAGGCGCTCTCGTGAGACACTTTACCTGTATTGGCCACTGAAATAGCTGGTGTACACTGAATATTCCCGAGAGTTATAGTTCATTGTTTTGTCTATTTGGTGCCATATTGGTGGGAGGGGGGTGTTGTACAGCTCTTTTTGCTGCTCAGGTTAGGCTGGCGGCTTTACTAGTGTAAATTTTAAGGGTACTGTAACTGCACTAAGCTGGAAACATCTGAGTCATATGATCCTCTGTGGCCCGAAGTGCCTGATCCTGCCTAATCTTGAAGCTAAGTAGGGTTAGGGCTAGAATCTGGATGGGAAACTTGAGTCCCACATTGAACAGAGGGTTGGACCCAATGGCCTTCTAAGGCCTCTTCCAACTGTATGATTCTATGTAGGTTCATGCTTCCAGGCTGACTTGTGAGGCAGAAAATCAGGTACCTCTTCCATGGTTGGAGCTGTTCTTATATTTAATAACTCCTCATCTCACCTGTCTGTACATTTCATGGGAAGAAGAATTCCAATGTATTTTATCATGTTGTAAGCCGCCCCGAGGTTTCGGCAAGGGGCGGCATAGAAATGCTATAATAATAATAATAATAATAATAATAATAATAATAATAATAATAATAATAATAAGCACCGTTTATGTTTCATTGCTTCAGTATAACTGATGTCATTGTAAAATCAGGCAGGAGTGATCATATTAAGGAAGGAAGGGAACTACAAGTGGAGGAATCAAGAACTGTTTTAATCTGTTCTAATTCCAGACATTGTAAACTGTTTGCCATAGTTGGAAATCAAATGATTGCTTTGCACTGTAATTCGGGGTGAGTGTGTCTGGCATGTAATGCATGCAAATGTAGCTTGAAATGTTTTGTCTCTCTTTCCCTCCATTGCTGTGCATAACTTAGCAATGTCTCATGGCTTTCTTGTATTTTCCTCTAGCCAGTAGGTGGAAATCCTTGTATTGCAGTCCACTGGCGTCTCCAAGTGTGCATAACATGAATGCGGACACAGGGTCCTGTAGCAATGCACTAAACTCTCCCGGGCACTACAAATCAACTAACAAACCGCTACTAACTTGTGGCAGCTCAGGTATGGCATGACATTGGGAACACTTTCGGAGGACTGGAGATGGGAGAAGCACGAGGTGGGGTGGGAAAAACAAAGACTAGTTTGCTATCTTCAGCCTGAATGGGATTGCCTAGCTTCGCCCTTTCTTTCTGAGTGCTTCTGGAAAGGCTCCTGTTTAGATCTCTTTGCCTGTTTATGTTAATTCTGTGGAATTCTAAATGCTGCAAGTGATTTATTGATATCCTCCTGGGATGTCCAAGCATTTCCTTCTCAGCTTATTTGATTAGTCCCTAAGAAAAAGGGCCAGTGGAGCCCTGTTGAGCAGGGCTTTCTTCTGTTGCTTTACTGCCACATACTTTGTGCTTATGTGAAGACTTCCCTTTGTAACTTGCATGTGCAAAAACGTTGTGTTTGAGAGTAAGATCGCCATGTGCAGTCACGGGACCATAAAGAGATTTATGTCCGAGTTGTCTCATCTGTTTAGATTTCCAAACCACAGTTATTGTATGAAGTTTTCTGAAGACTGTTGTTGCAAGTATGCGCTAGAAGGAACTGCTTAATCAGGGTATTTTCTTACCTTGAAATACATCCTCTTAACACATGCCTGGAATGCTCACATTAGATGTTGCTATGCAATAATTTTTTCAGTTACACTAATTTAAGTAATCCACATTTTCCATGTTTGATTTTCAAAAGTCCAAATAAGAGGTCCAATTTTTTTTGGAAGCTGGGGTGTGGGGTAAGACAGGCACTGGAGGACTTACCAACGAGTTAAACAAGTATCCCATTGATGTCACTGGGTTTCATCGACTAAAGCAGTCGTTGAATTGCTCCTTCATTTTTTCTTGGAAGGAGCAGATGAGTGGGAGTTGCAATGCAGAATCAGTGGTATTTTGGATTATGCTTTCAGATTTGGATACCCAGTTAACTTTTTCTTCTCTTTTTCACTTGAAGCACAGAGTAGACTGCAGAATATCTGTTCTGGTTCTTAATTCTGCTTTCAAAAAATCTGGCTTTTAATGTGATTCTAATGTGTTTTGAGCATACACGTGAACTCTTTTTCTCAGATTGGCTTGTTGGGAAAAAGAAACTTTCAGACTGATGGATTAACTGGAGGCACATTCTTAAGGAAAGACTCCCCTAACATGTTCCAAGCTACCAAAGCCCTCTTGAGCTGCATTTGATGAAGGATACAGGTAGTGTTTTTGTGCAGGATGTAGGATAATAGTTCTGCAGTTTTTAACCGGATTCTTTACTTGCTCGCTACACCTGTTGCTCAGTGCTTTGGCACTTCCCTTCCTTTGCACAGCATAGTTTTAATCTTGAACTGAATCCTTTGGAGGTTAATCACATGCTAAACAGGAAGCTGTTTTCCTCATCTTCCCACATGAAGGGACTAGTGAGAACAACTAACTGGAGAAAGCGCCATGTTTTCAAATTATATTTTAATGCTATGGATTAAGGAAAGAGTCTTGTAAGTATGCACAGATGTACACATACGCCCTGCCAACGGATCGTTGTCCCTTGCTGTGTGGCTTTTCCACTGAGATTTCACTTTGTTTTCCTGGTCAATTTGCAGAAGTATGGAGTACAAAATCAAGAAGTTGCTGCTGTTTGTGGGCTAAACTATCCTGCTTTTAGCAGTTCTGTGAAAGGCTTTGGGTATGTAGGGATGGTGATCCAGATCAAGATTTGGTTGTAGACGGTGTGACAACTGCAACCCTTTCCTCTCAATGCAGAGTGGGGAGTGTCAGGACGCTGTCTGCACTCTGTTGGTATGAGTAGGATCTCTTTTTCCTATGCATGAGGGGCCCTCATGTCGGTGGGCGAGGGGTTAAAGCCCACCCTGTCCCCATGCCAAAGCCTGCTCCATGCCATTTCTTCAGTTTACTTTTAAAAGCCATTCACGCAAGTTGAATTGCTAAGTTCTGTAAAAGGGGTTTTGTCTAGTTTGGCCCCGTGTGGCCTTAGTAATTATAATTAACTTCCTTGGAACAAGCTTGGCAGCTGTTTTTAGGTGTTGGAGGAATGAAGAATGCTCAGGTGAGTGGACACCCTCCCTAGGTGTGCATGAATCCTGCCTGGTCAGTGAGTAAGTCCCTTACTTTCTTGATGGCGTTTCTGAACTCAGTAAATCACCTCTCACATGGTTGCCTGTGACACATAAGAATCGCACATGAGCAGTCAACATGGAAACTTGAAAAGTTGTTTTTTTAAAGGTGGAGTCTAGGAGGATGAGCTATTAAAAAATCAAATCTTTCTGGGGAATAGTAGCTGATTTCCTGTGGAGCCTGGTGGCATAAGAGGAAAACTGGTTGTTCTCTCTTGCCTCGTCCTACCAAACTTTTGACGGTCAATTATATATTAATGCTAAAAATCCACTTCCCACCACCCTGAACATGGTTTGCAGGAAGCTTGGGCATCAGCCTAGCTCCCAATTTGAAAATGAACTAGAGAAGCCATAATATAGTTTCAGCAGGATGATGGGAGAGAGGATGAGTAGTGTAACCCAGGGGGCTTTGAAACATGAACAGTTGAGGATCTGGTAAAGCTAGTCTGTGTTAAATATCAGCCTCGTGCTTTTCTTTAGCTACAGGAAAGAAAATTGTAAAGTATGAGGCCTGTTTGCAGAGTAATATCCTGTGGGAACACGTCACTGAAATTCTGCTGAGAAACTACTATAGAACAGCTAATTTCTGTTCACAAAACCTTTCCTAATGTTTTCTTCTGTTTTTCAATCTATTCTGCAACATGTGGAATTGCAGTGGATGGTTGTATTTGGTAAATGGGGAATAATGGTTAGTTCCACGGTGTTACAGTTGCCTAAATGTAACTCCACTCAGTTTCAAAAGCCAGGAGAGGAGTTTCCCCTCTCCTGCTGCCCCTTTAGGTACTGCATAACACGGTTATACAGGAGCTCCTAAAAGTTTGCAAGTCTTTTCTATTGTCCTTTGGTTAGCAGATGCCTTCTGGCAGTTTCTCCTGAGAGGATTTTAGGCACGCATTTTGTTCTTGTAATGTATATCCAAGGAGACCTTTTCCCTATAAAATCTTTCAGCTTTTTAATATAGATACAGAAAGTAGTAGCCCCACTTTGAAGTCCTTGCTACTTCACTCTATTGGTGAACCTGGAGGGCATCTAACGAAGTGTCACCATATTCACAACTGGAATCAAACAAGTCTGTTTACCTACCTTATAGGTAGCGTTTATACGCAGGTGTGCGAAGCGTCTCTTGCACTCACGGTGCCTCCTTTCCTCTCTTCTGCTATTTCCTGAAGGTTATCTGAGCTTGCATTCGGCACTGAGCTCTCAGTCTTCTGTCGATAGTGAACTCAGTACTTCTGATGATTCCATCTCGCTGGGCTACAAACTGCAGGACCTCACTGACGTGCAGGTTATGGCTCGCCTGCAGGAAGAAAGTATGTAAAAGCAATTAGCTTCTATTATTGCAGCATTGCCTTCTGGTTTTTTTTTCCTCATTGTACTGTAAATTCCACCAAAGTATACATTTACCCCTTTCATAGAGTGAGTAATTGGGTGGCTGTTAGTCAAGTGGCAAGAACTGCACTGTTTTTGTCTGGTCCTTAGCTTTTACAATTGTTTTGGCCTGCTTGGAAAAAGAACACCTTTGTTTTTATCCTGTTCTTATGTTATTGAATTTTTATATAATTTTACATCATTTTGAGAGCCCTGGTGGGCAGGAAAACAGTGAATAAATACATTGGCCCTATCTAATGACATGAAGAAGCTATGAGCAAAGGGTTGATATTACTCAGTCTTATTTATTTTATTTATATCCCCCCTTTTCCCATCAGGAAACACAAGGTGGCCTACATAATCCTCCTCCTGTATACTAACAATAGCCCTGTGAGGCAGCTTAGGCTGAGAATCAATGACTTTGATCCAAAGTCACCCTTTACGCTTTGTGACCTCCAACTTTAAAGTTCAGGCTTGCTTGTTTGCTTGCTCCCTCCCTCCCCCTCTCCCTCCCTCCCCCTCCCACTACTAACACCCTTTGCGTATGCATATCTGCTGTAAATATCAAATGCTGAATGACTATCCCTCACCCCGGGGCTTGGAACAATAATTATGCTGTTTGTTCCACCTTGATGGAGACAGACACTTGCCTTGGCTTTTCCATCTGGTTTGGTAGTCTAGTGGTGGGCCAGATCATGAGAATGTCACCTGGCGAGGTGTGCAAGAATCTGGGCAGTGAGGTTGAGTGATGCCTGTCTCTCCTGTGGTTGGCTGCACTGTATAGGTCTTCGGCAGGACTGCGCCTCCAGCTCCGCGTCTGTTTCACGTCGCAGCTCCAGTGCATCTCTGCATTCCTTGCGCAGAGGTACCTACAGTGACCAGGATTTTGACACATACAGTTTGGAGGATGAGGACGACGACTGCTCCTTCTCCTATCACAGTAGTCATAGATACTCACCATCCCCGCTCAGCTCACCGCGCTGCCAGTCCCCATCCACAAACACAGACTATGGCAGGGCATCGGGCACCCGGATCCGGCCCCCACGAAGAACAATGCAAAGTCCAGTGCAAGATAGGCTGAAATATTCTGGGAATGAAGGTATGTGACATGCTGCTGAATCTTGCTAAGTTTTAGAACCTGTGGCTTCAGAAAACGAGTGAGTGAGTGAGTGAATATACAGAAATGATTTGATTCATCACTGTCTTTCCTTCACAGAGGAGCTGCAGCACAGTATGCCTAACCTGGCCAGAACTGGGCTGCGTTCCTTCGAATCAGTGAGGAACAGCCGCAGCTTGGAATCGGATCTGCAGGTTCCCGGTAGTCGACTCTCCAGAATCCAACAGCCATCATCCAGTAAGTTGGCTTCTTCTGTAAATGCTGTTATGATGTTGGATGGCTGTAATGCATTCTATATTGGACTACCCTTGGCCTTAATCAGAAACTTTAGCTAGTCTAGAATGGAGCAGCCAGAATCTTTGCCTGAAGCCAGCAGATTGCATTATGCCAATTCTTTACATGTTTTGTTGGCTAACAGTTTTTTTTCTGGGCTCAATTTAGGGTGCTGGCTTTGGTTGTTGAAGGCCTAAATGGTATCTCAAGAATCCCATATGAACCTGCTTGAGCATTCTACTCCCTCTTAAGTGTTGGCTGCTCCTTATTCCTTGCACTGATAGATGTATAGCAGATATAGGTGAAAACTAAGGCTTTTCAGTCGTGGCACCAAGACTGTGGAACTGCCTCCCAAAAGACTTGTGTTTAACCTTTTCACAGTTTAATTGTAAGGTGACTTCAGAAACATTTTTCCTCCAGTGAGCATATTTCAGAAAGGACTTTTCAACTTTCACACACGTTTTAATTTTTGCTATTTTATGTAATTTAGTTTTCTGTTTTAGCCTTAATTTTGCATGCTGCCTTGCAAATCCAGTCTTTTGTAAATAAAAGTCTTATTACCACTTCATGTGTGCCTTCTCTCACATTTCTCTTAAAAGGTCTGACGCCAAGCAAGCTCCACTATTCTTCCAGTGCATGCCAGTCCCCCTTAACAGTTCGACAGCCAGTGAAAGCAGGCTCCTGTGCCAACTCTCTCCTAACGCCACGTCAGCCAGTTAGAGCAACTGGTTTTGCCAATCCTGCTGGCAGAGTCCGAAAACTACAGTCTCCGGCACTGAGTTCTGTGGGTAGTAGCAGTTCTGGGGCCAGAAGCAGTACTGTGGCTACAGCAGCAAAAAATTCCTTACCAAAAAGTAAAACGTCAGTTGGGGGAACGTCCTCTCTGAAGAGCAAGCTGACTCATCCGGTCAAGAGGTAAGAATAGAAAGCTTGAAATATAAAGCTAAACTATGATGCTCTTGCTGCGAACAAAGTATGTTTAGTTTTAATGGCAGTATTGGCTCCCAATGCATGATCGATTGGAGTCAGTGTGCATTTTGTTTACCATGGTGTAGTCATGGAGGGTTGGGCATGACTTGGCGACTAAACTAAAACAAAACAAGGGTTTATTTTTTATTTTATTTTATTTTTTTGATTTATATCCTGCCTTTTTCCTACAAAGGGCTCAAGGCAGCTTACATCTCCTCCTCCACCTTATCCCCACAACAACAACCCTGTGAGGTAGGTTGGGCTGAGAGTCTGTGACTGGCCCAAAGTCACCCAGTTGGCTCCATGGCTGAGCGGGGACTAGAACCCAGATCATCTGAGTCCCAATCCCATGCTCTTAACCACTACACCACACTGGCTCTCAATGCTATGGTAAATGTGATGAGGCCCAGACTGAGCAAGGGTGGGAAAATGATGCCCATTTTCCAGAAATGGTAGGAAAACTGCCGTTTGTCAGGTGTTCTGAGGGTCCAAGGAAGCTGTCTCACAACAAACTTCTACCCAGTTCCCCCATGGCCCTCCTTTCGCACTCCTGCATGAGAGAGAGGAGGCTCCCACGTGGGGCTCATTGTCCTTTCTCTCACGCAAGCAGGAATGAGAAAGTGGGGTGAGCAGGGAGATTACCCGAGTGCATGGCTGCCAGCCAGGCACTGTCATCCAACTGATTCTCATCCCTCCCATTTGCATGTATATAAAGCACGTCTCTCAGGCATGCATGTGAGTGTCGGTGGGGAAATCAGCCATTTCATCCCATTCTGCAACACCACCTCGCTTATCACCCAGGCAGGCGGTGCGGGGGGACACATCTAACAGCCTCTTGCCAAGCAGCTCTCTGGTTCTCACCCTTGTACGATGATGGGTTGTATTTTCAGGTTCCGACAACACAACAAGGCATCGTGGTACAGTGAAATCATAAAACAGATGTTTGCTTCTAAAGACTAGATGTACCATGCTGAAATACCACAATAGTAGGCAGACAACAGGGTAAACCAACAGCAGTAAAAAACCACCATGGCTTGTCATGGGAACTTGTCCAGTAAGTGCAACATGGGAGCCAAAATCAGGGTTCACTCCAGCTCAGAACCAAAGGTGGACAGGGTGTGGAATGGACCCCCAGCCCCTTCAGCGGTTCCAAAACTAGACTTTGAGAGGGGAGCTCAATTTTGTCTCTCTCTTTTATAGTATGTAAGGCCAAGGGCAATGCAAGAGAGTAGGGCCTGGACGTTCTGTTGGAATTCCTGTGCAAGTGCTGGAGTTTGGTGACAGTGTGGTTCCCAACTCTGAAATCTAAGGGGGAGCTTTGCAACCTGTCCTTTCATACTAGAATTCAGCTAGCATTTCTGTTCCCATTTAATGCCTGCTGGTGTGGTTTAAGTCCTGTTTTTTCCATTTGCAAATAGTATAGTACAGTCTGAAATAAGCTGCTGTGGTTCTGCTGATGCTGAAAAACATATTAGGTGAAATGCAGTTCACACAGTTCTGCTATCAGTAGTCAATGGGTTTTTTCAGTGAAGGTTGTCTGATAGGTAAAGCACGCAGGGGTTCAGCCGTATATTTTAAACCTCATCCCTTTGAGGTTGGCCAAGAATCTGTATAGATGAACAGTGACAATCCTGGTTCTCAACAACAAAGATGAGAGCACTTTTATTAGCTGATGTTTTGAAAACAATCAGGATTTCTTCCTTGAAAAAAAAACAGTTTTACAGTTGATTCAACTGTGCAGCTATTGCGGTACCTTCGTATAGCTTTTATCATCTTGGATTTCACATTGGGCTTTTTATGATTCAAAGCAGCCTGTGTGAAACTATGTTGCATGTGCACACGAAATGACTAGTTATTTGCCAGACTATGGTTTTATTTGGTCCAAAGTACTGCTCGATACTGTTCTGTCTCTTTCGTGAACTGTACAAAGTAGTATAGCGAAGTTGTCCTTAAGTCTCTGTTGGGAACTGATTACCACTTACTGATTGCAAGCACAAGGACCTACAGGATCACTTTGGTGATCATGGCCCATATTCTTCCTGCACTTCTATAGAAGTCATTTAGGAAGCGGTCCTGGGCACAGCTGAGGGCGTTGGTCTTTTATGGCCTTGGAGGCTTCTTAATGCATTTCATTTCTAGCTGCAGTTTTGCAATGAGTGCATCACATAAATATGTTCATTGTGTATTTTGACTTATGCTGTTGGAATATTAAATGGCTATTTGTGTAATCTGTATCCCAACAGGTTTCCAAAGGCTAACGTTGCATCTGTTGATGATTCTTGGAAAGATGGATGTTACTGAGCCAACCTGAAGATGTGGAACAACAGCCCAGCTGGCTGGGTAGAAGGAGATTCTTAGAATTCTAGTCCTCTCCGTTGCCAGTACATTTGACGAACTGGGATTACCTTTTTCTGAATTTAAACCACCTTTGCCTTTGCTTTGACTCGATGGTGGGAAGGGACTGCCTTTTTATTCCTGCTGTTATAGTTTGGTTGTTGAACCCTGATTAACAGTCCCTTTTGTACTTGGAAGTACAGATGGATGCCTGATACCCACACTTGAAGATTTACTCATGGTGCTTACTAGGAGGCAGAGAGCTCCCATGGCTGTGAAAAACTTTTCATTTTGTGGTTTCTTTTGTTTTGCAAAAGGGAGCTAGAGAAGTAGGAATAATTAGAAACTACTCTTTACAATGTCACCTGGACCATCTTAACTTTGTTAGGAAACTCAGAGGTTACTTTTATTAGTCCTGGATATGTGTCTCATTACTTATTATTGTAGAGGAAGGAACAGGTTTTTAAAAAGAATAGTAATCCTGAGCTTTGTATCAACTGTCAGAAGAGAGTGTCTTACGTTCAGGAGCATCAGCACCACTGCCAAGGTCCTTGTGCAGCTCGTGTGCCCTGTAATACCATTTGTTTTCTCATCTTTTAGCTGGACAAAGCCAGTCCTTGGTGCAGGTAAGGAGTACCACTTTGGCAAACTGTGTGCACAACTGAAGTGTTTTTTTGCCCAGTCATCTAAGTACAGATGCTAAGATTCTGCTTTCTGTTTTTGTATAAATATTTTTATTGTACTTTTTTTGATGAAGGAACTTGGTTTATAAACTTAAATCAGTGGCTGCTGGAGCTTGCTAAATGCAAGAACACAATCATACCTGGGAAAAGAAACTGGCTTGCTAGCCCTACTTCCTGCCACTAATGTGACTTGATATTGTAGTTAATAAATGTGAAGGGGCTAGTATTGTTTTAGTAGCAAATCTGTTTCCGCTACTTTCTTTTCAAAGGGGTATAGGTGCATAGTTAAACAAAAGAGAAATGATTTCTCTCTCTATGGGGTTTCTGCTTCAGTTAAGGCAGTGTAGATTCCTGTGAAAAGATGGAAGACAGACATGAGTTGATGCTTAAAGGCAATATTTATGTGCAGTCATTATGTGAAACTATAGGTGGGGAGAAAGGAACTTGACGTATATTGCAGTCACACTTTTTGAGCTAATTTTGATTCCAAATAATGACGCACAATATCCGCAAAAGCAAACTAAGTAGCTTTTGCAGAACAATATTTATGCCAACTGTAGCTAAGGGAAAACAGGCTGTGAAGAATCTGTAGCCTTCCCCCATCTAGTTGCCCTCCAGATGTTTTGGGCTTCATTTCCCATCAACCATTGAACTGACGACTACCATGCTTATAGTCTAAAGCAACTGGAGCGCACCATGCTGGGAAATGCTGCTGAAGTACCAAATGTATGTATACTCGGTGCAATTTGACCTTAGTTTCCTTAAATTGGGAGAAATCGGCCCATTTTGATCAAAGGATGTTAATGACAATTAATCCTAAACAAGCAAGTGGGTTTAAGGTGCTTGCAGAAGATATTATTGAGCAATACAAATGTATGAACGCAGATCTTCTGCAGTAGGATATGTTCAAGCAATTAAGACTGCTTATGTAACCTCAGTGCTAATTAGTCTGAAGTGACAACAGCTAAAACAGGACGAGTAGGAAAGACTTGGCGGTGGTATCAGTTTATAGTTAGCACCTCAAAAATTATCACACAATAGGTGCAACGTAGAAGAGCCAAGAATCACATTTGGTATCAAAAGAGCTAGACTTGTTCAAGAACAACGGCGGAGTGCACGGAGAATGACTGTACTTGCACTATGCCAAGAGGCAGATAAATAGGCTGACCTACGGGCAATTTTTGGGGTAACATTTTGTCTACTAACTTGAAATCTCAACAGCTCGATTGGTTTGTTATATAAGTTATATTTCCAGAAGTGTATAGAAGACAAAAAAATCACCAGAATACATTTCAGGAAGTAATACACCACCCCAAATCCACATGAAGGCTTACATCAACTACTTTCAGTACAATAAGTTTATTCAAACAGATTAACTTTATTTTACAATAAATGCATCAGTGCATTTTTTAAAAGAGGACGCAATTTCTCAAGTTTACATAGCAATCAGAATCTGAAAGTTAACAATGACAACTACTAACAGTTGCTAGGACATGCACAATGAACTGAACATTTATTTGTGCCTGGAAAGATACTCGGCAGGGGAGAGGGACAAGAGCCCTTCTCAGACAGGGCCTGTGTCAAACCAGGACAAACAAGGAGAACCCCTGGAGGCCTCAGCCTCTTCAGCCCAGAGAAGGAAGAAAATTATGCCTGTGTAGCAGTGCTTACCTCTGTCTAGATGTCGGGAACCTGGCTACAGAAGACTTAAAACAGTAAAAAAGCAGCATGGGGAACCTAAGGATCTTCCTACCTTGATGGCTTGTCACAGTATGTCAGTAGCACTTCACATAAGACTGGGAGATGGGCACATTGTGACTCGGCACCTGAACTCTCACTAGCATGTTGTTAAAACTTCCTTTTCCTATGTTTGCTCAGTATTTTGTACTGTTAAGAAAGCTCCAAGTTCTCCCACAATAAAAGTATCAAGCATGTAAAAAGAAAACACAATAGTTTGCAATCCGGCAGGAGCTCAACTGCAAACTGCCCTGGAAAATGGTTTTCACCTTTTGATGGCTACCGCCACTTCCAGCAGCAGCCCTGTCAGCCTGTAGTGCAACAGAAGCTGTACTTCCTTGGTGCCCGGAGTCCACAGTGTGCATTACTGAAATTGCCACCTTCATCTGTACCTCGCAGCTGACACTAGTACAGAAATACAAATCCAATTAAGTAAAAGCTAGAGGTTATTTAGATAATTGATATGTAGTTCTCATTTGGCTGTTACGGTTTAAGCCAGGCTTTATTCTTCTTCAGCCAGCCTCTTTTCCCTCACAAATCCGCAGCTTAGGATTTCCCAGTGGCTTATCTGCCTGGCACCTGACCTTTCCTTGAAAGCTGGGCACCATAAACCATACCAATCTTCAGAATCAGGTGGACAATCCCCTATCTTGTGTTCTCCAGCTGGCAACTGGAGCAGCTTTTTAGGCCCCCTCACTCCCTCTGTAGGGAAAGTCAAAGCTCAGCCCTTCTTACACGCTGACTGGAATATTCCAAAGCAGGCAGGGGAATGGGACCCCCCAAACACATGAACTACAAAGAGCAGCAACAGTACAGCAACATTAACACATCAGACTTACCACTCATCCATGTCACAAAGCAGAGCCTACCGATATTCCCCAAAGGGGGCTGCAGGGGAGCCTCCAAGGACAGTCAGCTGGACATGATTTGAGGAAAGGCACTGCTAGGAAAGCAATTTTGGGAGGAGCTGAGCACATGCATCTGAGCGAGGGTACGTGAACCCACCGGCTTCAGTAGTCCTCACCGACATCATCCCCTCAAGGGCTGAACAACGGGGTGAGGGACCACCAGCTCTTCCCTGCCCCCCTCCCCACCACAGAGACAGTAAAGTGCAAAGCATGATAATACAGAACTATGTTTTGGAGCCTCCCACTGTCAGTGCCTTCCTTTCCCCTGGGGAAGCGCTACAAGTTAAAGACAGAACAAAATTTGCATCGAGTCGATGTACAAAAAATGATGCTTGCTGCTTAGAGGCTGAGGCCTGGGGTCCCACCCAGGCCCTTCCGGGGTGATAAGGCAAAGAGACTCAAGTGTCCTGGAGCATGAAGAGCAAGGAGGTCCGAGTTTGTTCAACGAGGATCATTCCTCTGCATGTGTGCTCTTTTATGGCTGCGTGTTCTGACCGCTACTTCTGTACACAAGTTGGCCACGAAAGCCCCCCGCAGGCAGCTGACACAATGATGTAAATTATGACCTGTGTGAAGAAGGCATGCAGTCACTTCAGTGGCTCCCCCACCTGTCATCAGAGGGGGAGTGCACTGCCCAGGAAGCCATCCCACAGTCATCCCAATTTTCAACAAAGGCTGCCTTGAGTTCCCCTCTTCCTTTCAGGTGGCTGTTCAAGCTGATCAGAGAATATATTATGAGCACCATCCTGGCCAGAAGTTACTTGATCCCAAGAGCTTAAGGTTACCAAACACACACAGATTTGTACAGGGCAATTCTTCATTTATCTTAGCTGTACTGTTCCTGCAGAAAGATCCACAAGGTTTCGGGACAGGGGAGGGAAAAAGCAGCAGAAGAGGAAGGGAGCACACAGGAAGGTAGCTGTCCCTACCTCCTATGCAGAAAAAGGTCTTGTGCAGCCCAAGAATTTGCCCTTGCAGCACAGTACTGGTAAAAGGGCTGCTTTCCCATTTATATCCATGTCTTGAATTCAGCTGTAAAGCTCCCCAACAACCCCCCTTTAAATGCGGACACCAACTTACAATTGATACTATGGCAATTATGATGGTGAGCTTGAGGTTCTTCATGCACATTGCTCTAGCCAGGTTCCTGCTGGTTGTTTTGAAGGTCACAGACTGTGGAAAGAGCAAAGGAGACCTGCTTATCGGCATCTGGCCATGTGTTAGCCTGTGGATGAAGCCCATGTCGTTCTCTCCTTCACCCACTATAAAATACTCAGCTATGTACTTTTAAACTATCAGCATATGACAGTCACCATTTCCATTCTTCTAGTATGTACAACTGATCCTTTAAGTGTTCCAGTTTTTGACCCCCGTTTTCTGGAATAAGCAATCATTTTGCTAGGATCGTGTGGTATGTTCCTAAATAAAAGTACAGTACCTTAACTAAGAGTTATTTGAAAGGCTCACAAAGCTTGAATTTTTGCAAGTACTAACAGAGCAGCCATAACTGCTTTAATTCTTTACATATAGTTTACACATTTATTTATTTTAATTTATTTATTTAAAACATTTCTATGCCGCCACATTCGCCGAAGCCTCGGGGCGGCTCACAACATAAAATTAAAACATTCAAAATATAAAACAAATTAACAATGTAAAATAACTCACCCTGGCCAGATAAAATAAACAAATAATATTAACAATTAAAATGACATTTAAATAAAAAGGTCTTCGCCTGGCGCCGAAAAACAAATAACGACAGCGCCAGGCAGACCTCTCTGGGGAGCGCATTTCAGTTGCTTTAGTTCACTTTACATAACCTAAGAAGTTTTCAGTTATTTTAGCTATGGGAATTTTGTGGACATATGGACTAGCCAATTGTTCTGCAAGCTCACAGATCTGTAGACTCACAGCCCATGTTTACTGAGAAGCAGTTCTCAAGTTGAGTGGCTCTGACTCCAGAATAAGTATGGACAGCACAAACCACTTGCTACAGCATGAGAAACTTATGAGCAGTAGGCCTGGTAATCCATCTCCCACCACCCTGTCGGAACCCAGCAATACGTATCATTATATTTTGCCCTTCTGTCTTTCCAAACGGTGCCAACGTCCTACTTTTACAGCCTGCAGACTCAGAATACACTGGCAGACGGACATGAACAAAAACAGCTGAACTACTTAAGGAACATGGGGGGTTGGGGGGGTCCCACCATTCCAGATAAATGTCTCAACTATTCTGCAGAAAGGGGAAGAAAACACTGACATCCACTAGAAGCCTTCAGTCTTATGACTGGAAGGATTAACAAATAGGGTTTTAAGCAGGGTTTTGTTCTTCTGAGCAGTCAAGCTAGAAGATACGGCCTATATTCTACAGACTGCTCACTCTCTCGCCATCTTCCCATTGTTGCACACACATTACAGCTACTGAGGAATTAATCTTATTGCTTCCCTACCCCACTTCCAGAACTTACCGAATCCACAAGATTTTCAGTTTTATCTATCAGCAACTCCAGTTTTTCTCCTCTTTGGGCCACCAGATCTGGGTGGAAGATAGCGCAACAATGAGAATTCCAATGAAAAAGCAGTTCTGTTCCTTTACCAAAACAACCTGTTCCCAAATGACAGGCAGTGACTAATCATGCGGGCTTTGTACTATAAATCTCTGAGCCAGGTACTTGCCAGGTGCAAGGTTCTTCTCTAAGGTTTTAGGAAAGCAGTATCTTGGCCCACTAGAAATATAGGGACTAGGTATCATGCCAGCTCAGCGCAAAGTGCAAGTAGAACTAAAGATTACCCAAACTTTTGGCTAGGTAAGTCAAATGCAACACAAGCTCACCAAAAAGATGAAACTGCCTGCACAGTTTCCCAAAGTTGATTTCCCACCACAAAGCACGGTCCAGGCAGAAGCAGACTGGTGCTCGTGCAGGACAGAGACACATCTCACACTCGAGTTATGCCACCAGCACCCAGCGACATCTCTTGCACGTGCAAGGGGTTTGCAAATGTTCACTACATCTGTGTCAATACACACTACAATACCTATATTGCGGACCATGATCCCTTTGAGCTCATCCACTTGAGCCTGTGTCTCTGCCACCTGGTCGGGACCCTTGTTTTCTGAGTGGTGTTTCTACAGGAAGGAAAGAGGACAGGAGACATAAATACCTGGCTTTTAGGATGGTGAAGCAAGAGAAGGGCAAGGGTGACACACACCAGTCTCTGCAGAAAAATCAAGACCTGCCCTTGGAACTATGACTAACGCTGGAAGCTGGGCACGGCTTACCTCCAACTACCTTCACCTGCTTCTCCACCCCACTGTACAATTCTTCCCTTCCTCTGCTTCCCCCTCGTATGGTGCAGGAAAAGCACCCACCGCTTAAAGGAACCATTTTCTTGTAAAAATGCATCTGTAGTTTGCCCGTTCAGCATTTAAGCAAGTCCTTTGCGTGGTGTGCGCTAGGGCAAGCCGCAGCCATGGTTCCAGAACACCCAGCTACAGGAGTCCCCTGCTGCACTGCTGCTTGAGTCACTGCATGAGAAAGCAGAGGTGCTCTTGGTCAAGCAGCCGAATGAAGAAGTGATAAGGAGCTGGTCTGTCCTGTGCGGGACCGCACTGGTCTGGAACGATCAGATCCACAGTTTAACAGTTTTTCTGGTGATGGCTGGGGCACCTTTGCCACACTTCAGCTGCTCACAGCAGCAAACGTTCCAAAAAGAGCAGCATCACCCAGGTCTTAGTTACAGCAAGGCTAATGCTGAATGAGAGGTTGTCCTTGAAGACAGTTTGGAAACCAGCTACTGCAAAATGCAGCTGCTAGTAGTGCCAAGCTGAAAAAGGATGCTACTGTGATAGTGCCAGTCGCTATGACTACCAGCCCATTTCCCAGCACAGTTCAAAGTGCTGGCCAATACCTTACACACCCTATTTAATAACTGAAGCCACAATACTCAAAGGACTCTGTTCCCCATATGAATGTTCATGTTCTCCAAATGCACTTTGCTAGTGTGCTGCCAATACTCAAAGGGATTAACCTTTCCTGCAAGGTTCCGATTTATCTGCTGCTTGTTTTAATCTCGGCTCTTTTCACAAATGGTTTTACATTAACTGCTACTTTTGCCCTTTTTATGAAGGGCTCACTGGTGTCTGCCACACCAACTGGGCTCACCAGCTGTGCAGCTAGGACGCTGGAAAACTCGCTGTTCATGGCATATGGCAGCGCTGTCTGCGCACGAGAACCGTATGTGGTTTGAAACCTTTTCTTAATTTCATTCAGGAACGTGAAGGCTCTGGAACGTTCGAAGTCCTTAAAAGGAAGAACAAAATCTTCAGCGGAACAATAAGACAGGTGTAGGTATGTTTTAGCAGCTATGAGCAGTGAAATCTAAATAGGAAAACTTCATGTACACAGGCAGTATCTCTTAATGGAAATGGGAATGCTCTGTTTAGGAGTGCCCTAAAGGCCTCTGGTTTGGGGGCACCATTAGAAGTTGTTATGATCTGCCAGACTATCAGAACTAAACTCAAAACAGCGATAGGAAAACAAAAGAAATTCTCCCAGAAGCCATTCAAGAACTTACTGGGAAAACAAGACACAAGCAAATTTAAAAGCTGAAGCTGCAGGCACTGCTAAACAGAATGGCTGACAACCTGTAGACCCTTCTTTAATCTTAAATGAAGGGCCTAGATCCAGAGAAAAGCAGCATCTTCTCCATGGCACACCCTTTGGGTTTGTATTTCCAGCAACCATTCAACAGGGAGAACAATAGTCAAAAAAGCATGAATCACAGCTTTGTTACACTACTTACATCATCTGTGATGCAGAGGTATATAATCCGGTCCTGGCAGATGTAGTGGAACAAATAACTGGGGAAAGACAAATGCCAGTACAATGGTTTTAACAGGATCTGGGTTCAGAAGCCGGCACAGTGATACCCAGGCCTCATTGTGCCATGTACTGTGTGACATTCCAAGCAGCCATTTCTACATTTTTATTCTTGTGCAAAGAGAAACCACTCTCCTGGAAGGAAATGGATTCCACTGAGCTCTTAGAGAGGACAGTCAACCAGTGAAGACAGTGTGCATGTTTTCTTCATGCGTCACCTACATCCAGAAACAAAGCTAGGTCGAAATGGTGAAGATAAGGGGATGCTGCCGCAGCAGTTTCTGAGTAGCAAGAAGCACAAAGGCCAAACATAGTTACCCTACTGAAAGAATGGATCTAAGTGTGTGAGGCTATTGCTCAGCGTGGGTGTGGAAGCCACCTTGCATGTCCATCCACTACGACAGAACAGACAAGCGCATTCCTGTAGAAGCATCCACTGGATGCAGAGCCCTCTAACAGGCACTGTCCCATGCGCGATGGGTCCCACCCAGGAAGGGACCCCACTTGGGGCGGCTGTTTCCTGCCTGCCCTTGGAAAGCCAGGCTCGCCTTGACATGCTGGTCAGCAAGGAACAGGGAGCCCCACCCACGCTGCAGTTCGACGTGCAGCGCTGTGCGCGGCTTTGATGTGGGAAGCACGGTGTTTTCACGTCACGGCAGCACGGTTAACTCGGGTCTCCCACCAGAGGTGCCTCAGATGTTCTGTTCAGTCAAGTTAATTCCCTGAGAATGTCTTTTCCCCATGTTCCTTCTATACGGTGAGGCATGACTGGTGATCCCGCTTCCAAGTGGATACAGATTTGATCTGCATTCCACGGAGGAGAGAGCTGACTTTCCTCTTGCTCCATGCCTCACTGATCAGACCAGAACGTCATGGCAATGTCATGGTAACAACTTTCCAGCTGTTGCCATTCCCATTCTCTTTCAACAGCTCAGAGCTCCCAGCCAGGCACTAATCAGGTCCAGGCCTCTTTCAATCCAACCATTCTATGGTATTCTGGGCTCCCATGTCATTCACTGTCCCTTTTTAGCAAACCAGTAGTACAGGGGTAGTACTGCAAAACGGGCTCGAACAGATGGCCATGGAGCAAGAGCCAACCCACTTACAGAGCAAAACCTGGATGTATGACTTCCCTCATGCATGCAAGCTTTCACCCAGTAGCAGATGAGGCATCCCTTCTCTTTGTTCAAGTATTTCTATGTCTAGGATTACAGTAAATAGTGGACAACGATGCAGCTTCAAAAGGATGAGAACAGTGGTGCATCTAAGGAATCTTCACAGCCTCTCTAGCTGCTTGGACCTGCTGCTATAATTGGGCTCAAGACAATGTTCCTAATATTTGTCTTCAGTCATTATTATGGCCAGCTAGACTGGCAGTCGATGAAAGCAAGTGCAGCGTATCCTCTGCTGCAGATGGAGAGTATAAACAAAAAGAACGGTGATCTTGGTGCGATGTACTCGACACATCAGCTATCACACCAAGCTGCTTCCTCTCCCACCCGATTTTGTCTTATTTCCTCATCTGCAACATCTTGCAAGATCTGTCTGCAACTCTTTGCAAGCCCTTTGTCCCTTCCTCTTCTGCCCCCCAAATCCATATGGTGGGATGGCTACCTCTATTTCAGTCCTTCATCTGGCCCTCCCTCCCTCGCTCCCTCCAAAAGCAGTACTCACTTTCCATGCGAGTAGGTGAGCTTGTTGTTCTCAGATGGTATCTTGGCCAGGATCTGCTCCGTAACCTCCAGGAAGTTCCCTCCACACCAAGCATGTTTAGCCAGGATTGTGGACCCTCTGGCTACAACTGCGAACAGGATAGTCATGGCTGCAAGCTCCCTGCAAGGGCAGGGACAAAGAATGAAAATGTTTGCCCAGTAAAGCAAAGCACAGATAACAGACTTTAGCCTCTGCCCCATGAGCTTTGGCATGCAGCCGAGAGAAAAAAGAAACAGCAGTTGTATGAATGTCATTGCCCCCTTTCTGAATACCACCCAAAGCTGACTTAGGTGTCATCATTTAGAGAAGTAACATCAAAAAGCAACTTGTAACCTATTTATCCTTTCTCTCAACCTGAATATATTGCCAGCTAGTTACATGCACTCCAATGAACTGTATATTTAACAGTTCTTGCAGGACCTAAGAAATGGGGGGGGGGGGGGAGACACACACAAAATCAGGTGTCCACCTATGCTCAAAGAGCTGGTGCTAGGATCTGTCATGCAAAAGGAGATCTGCATTCTCAGATCTGATACTGCTAGCCTTCTGGCCGGCAAGGTGGAGCCAACCTCCTTCAAGTGGGTGTCTTCCAGCAGCACTGGACTACAACTCCATCAGCCCCAGTCAACAAGATGATTCCAACCCCATGCTTCCTCCAAAGATCAGCAAGTTGGGTGAGTTGATTCAGAACAACTGGTGTATGTTCTCAGAGGACAACAAGAAGAAGTGGCCAATTCTTCTGCATTCTGAACAGCCACACACAATTCTCTCCTACTGTTTCAATAGGTCTGTTCACATGTGACTACTGCCATGTGAAGTCATGTGCTGCACAGCTGTGGATTACTGAGGCCCCGGTTTGCACCAAAGCTTCCCACAAGTGACAGTTGGAAGAGTGAAGCTATTTGCCAATCTAACCTACTTGGACAGCAATTCTCTAGCAAAGTTCCTCCTTCCTACCCTCATCTGCTACCTGCGCCTTTTGACTGGAGTTTTTAGGAACTGACAACCTACAAAGGAATTGACAGCTTATAAACAATGTCATGTATATTGCCTCCAACAGCAAAGATGAAAATAAAACTACATCATTCCAGCCTAACACCACATAGGATCTATGTGACACAAAGAAAACACTAGGCCATTTCTGGGTCAGGAACAGAACATTCTAATCCAACCCACTCCTTGCTTACAAGGTCAAACATCTGACACAGCAGGCAAAACTGAAAGAAAAAGCTAGTCACAGATGTATGTGAAACAAGCAGGAACCATGCAACCTTAAAATGACCTCCTAAAGATACTACATGCTTTAAAGTCTTGTTTCAGCATAACATACATTGGATCCAACCACACCATTCCTCTATCCAAAAGCCTAACCTCAACCACAAAACCTAATACACGAAAAGTCTGGTGGACAATCTGACTGTAATTTTTTTTTAAAAAAATTACCTTCCCTCTAAACAACAAATAGACAACTCCAGATAAGATAAAATGGATTGGCAATGCAAACCAGACCCAGGCTGAAATTGGCAGACCAGACACACACTCTGAGCACTGCAAAGGCGCAATAAAGCTGTTCCTTCAAGTGTAGCATTTGTCTTTGCCTTCTGCTTCAGTTTATGCAGCTGCCTGCTCCCAGTTTCCATGTCCTTTCCTAGTGCCTTAATTTCTAACAGGAGAGCTGCTTGCACAACTTTGTCTCTGGGTTTTCAAGCTACAATTATTACACCAAAAAGTTTCAGCAATGGCTCTGCAAACTCTGGCTCCCACTCTGCCCTGCTTCTTTAACAAAATCCCACAAGAAAGCAAAACATGTAGCCCTAAAACCTGCTAAAGGCAAAATCTACTGCTCAGTGAGTCACACCCAAAAGAAATCAATAGTTGAATGATTCCCTTAACAGTCCATCCCACATTTGGCTGTGCCAAGAAACTAGAATGGATTCACACTAAATCGGACACTGACTTGTCTCAAAGCAAAACTGTAGAAACATCATGCTGGGTTTCTTCTGCTGCTGCAGCATGCACCTTTCTCACAGATTGTGCTTTGATATTTTGGCTGGAGCTGGTGCCTAATGCTATTTGACCTTAGGTGGCAGGCATATGCTGGACCAACTTTATCTGCTTGACGGGATGTTTACACTATTAATAATCTTGTGACAGTGAGTAATTCAGCACCTGAAACTTTTCCTGGCAAGGATTCCCTGAAGTACCTTTCCAGACTGGTCTTCTGCCTGGGGGCTTAGCTCTCCACATGTTTGGAGCCACTGCAAGCTGCCTTGCAACTGATGGTGACTGCAGTCCAAATGACAGATGGCAAGACTTGACAGGCAGGAGGCAGACTGAGAGAAGAGATGCCTCAGCCAGTCTTCCTGCAACTCAAAGCCTACCAGGTATGTTGGACTGCACCTTCCAGCAGGACTGGCTGGTGTCCATTCAGAACTGGCAGTCCAACACATCTGGAGAACACCAAGTTCTCCAGGCTGATGAAATACAACCGCCACCGACACTGTGGAAAACAGGATGAGAAGACTGCCTTCCTAAATGCCTTTCTGTTCACTGAGGTGTAGTGCTTAAGAGGGTGGGACTGGGGCCCAGGCAATCTGGGTTCTAGGGCCCGGTCAGCCATGGAGCCAACTGCATGACTTTGGGCCAGACTCTCAGCCCAGCCTACCTCACAGGGTTATTGTTGTGGGGGATCAGATGGAGAGGAGAGAGAAGAGAATGATGTAACCTACTCTGAGATCGTTGCAAGGAAAAAGCGGGATATAAATCTAATAAACAAATACACGGAGAAAGAGCCATCTCGAGAGAAGAAAACAGAGAGGACACTGCAGAGAGGGTGATCCAAGCGCCCCCCGCATCCTCTCAACAAGAGGCGAAGATGAACGACTAGATGACTCCTCGCGAGGGGGCGTTACCAAGGTTACGGGGCCTAGTCCCATCTGCCACCCCCTCCCCTCTTCGCTCAGCGCAGGCACCCAGGCTTGAAACCGGACGGGGGTGACAGCAGGAAGAAAGAGGCAGCCCATCGCCTCAGCGGCCCACAGCCCATCGGCAGCCTGCGGCCGACACGGGCAGAGAAGAAACGCGGCCGGCCGCTCGCCCCTCACCTGGTCGAGCTCCCGCCCGCGACCCCGCTGCTCCTCTTCCTCAGCCGCGCAGCTGGCAGGGCGAAAGCAAACAGCACGTGAGCTTCCGCAGGCGAGCGCAAAGGCTTGTGGGCAACCGAGTTCGGCGATCAGGGAAAAACGAAAGGAAAGGAGAAAGGGAAAGGACGGGAAAGGAAAGCGCCCGGACATGCGAGCACGGGACTAGAACGTGCGACGGAAGTACTGGCGGAAGTGACTCCGGATTGGAGAACTGGCCGGGGAGGCGGGAACAAGAGAAAGGAAACGCGCGTGCGCGTACGTCACGTCCTCCTGCCATTTTAATTTTTCCAGTACTGCCGGATGTAAAATACTTTCCAGTCACTTTCTCCGCGAAAGGAGCCGCTTCTCTTTTGAACGGCGAATCCTTTCCACCCCGATACTCATTTTTCTTGCTTGGAATTCGAGCTCCATTTGAAATTCAACATGCAGTCATTGGCCTACGATTCCCACAGTCCTTAGTGGCACGGACGTTTTCACGCAGGGGCCGACGGGAGGTGAGCTTCTGATTGGCGGCTACGAGTCCCGGCATCCATCGCGGTCGGAGCTCCTGAAGGGAACATGGGCGAGGAAGAGGAGAAGCGGCCGCCGGTGCTGCAGATGGTGAGGCCCGAACGGGGCAAGCGCCGCCTTGATAGTTAAGTTTTCCGCCTTCCCCGCGCCTTCTTTATTGGGCGAGACTCCTGAGCTTTTTAACAGTTGGCACGGCGGGTCGAAATCCACCGGATGAAGCTTTCCCTCTGGCCATGGCTATCCTAACGAGACCTGATCGTGCAAGAGATAGCCGCCCCGGCGGCATATAATGGGGCGGCATTATAATGGGGCGGCATATAAGTCCTCCAAACAAACACATACATACATGCATACATACAGCAGAGAGACATAAAACAGGAGCGGTGCTTGGTATCGAAAAGGTTCGGGGAGAAAAAGGCCCACAGGTCATAAAGTTGGGGTGGAGGGGGCACAATTTTTCGTATTATAATTTGCATATGCTCTAGAGGACTCTTTGTGTAAAAGCCCCCATCTTCTTCCGTCACCTCTAAGGGGCATATGGAGAGTTGATGGAAGCGTTTGCTGGGTTGGGAGAAGTACCCAGCCTGGAAGTCAAAAGAAAGAGCAGAAGGAGGAAGTGTCTGCACTCACTTTTAGTTATGACTCTGCTTGCTGCTGGTGTGCATCCCTGAAAATATTACTCCATATCCCAGCCTGGCACTATCCAGTTTGTTGGACTGTGGGAATTGCAGTTCAGCTTATCTGCAGGATGCCAGGTTGGGAAGGCTGCCCTGGCTTGTTCCACTGGGGTGTGAGGCTCACAAGATCAAGTCCACACAGGACATGGAAAGTGACCAAAACCTTAGCGCACTGTTGAATGCCAGAGCCAAGGAACATGACAGCTGTCCCTCACTAGAGACTTTCAAAAAGAAACTGGACAGCCCTCTGAGTGAGATGGTGTAAATTGGTGTCCTACAACAGCAGAGGATTGGACCCGGTGGCCTTCATGGCCCCTTCCAACTCTACTCTTCTATGATCTTGGAAAGATTATGGGCCATGACAAGAAAGAGAGAGGCCAGCCCCTGCCTTAAAACTTTCAGCATCTGATGGTCTTTCTCTCTGTTCATCATTCTCCCTACAGGTACGAGCTGAAGGGTCAGATAAGAGCTGTGTCACATTTGTGCTGCACAATGAGGACCATACCCTTGGCAACTCCCTTCGGTACATGATCATGAAAGAGTAAGTACTGTTTTTTACTGTTGCCTCACTGAAACAGAAGCCTGCACACAGGTTGCCTGAATGAGCAATTGCCATAGAGAACCTTTGCCCAGACACTCAGGTGTACCTTGAAGAGCAAGGATATGCTCAGTCTAAACAGTAGTCTGCTGAGGATGGCTTTAACTCAGAATCCTGCACTGAGCAGAGGGTTGGACCTGATGGCCTTATGGGCCCCTTCTGGCCAGTTATTTCAAGACTGCCTCCTGCTCCCTTCGCTTCTGTAAGCCTAAATTGCTACTGATGCTTTCTGTGCTTTCCTTTCCCATTATAACTGTGCTTCCCTTCCCCGTAGCCCTGATGTGGATTTCTGCGGTTACAGCATCACTCATCCTTCTGAAAGCAAAATCAACTTCCGCATCCAGACCAAAGGTGAATCATAAGGCCCTGCTTGCCAGAGAGTGGCTGCCAACTTCTTCTGTTATGAGAGGCATTGATGACTTTGGAGTCAATTGCTAGTTAACTGTTTCCTTTATCTACCTTCAGGATGTTGGGAGACAGGGAGTGGGCCAGTAACTTGTGGCATTCTGCCTCTGGATTTTGGGGCAAAGATTTTTTTGCACAAGTTCCAGTGTTGTGATAAAGGAGCTAATTAGCAAGTCCCCTGTTCGTATTTCACCTTTACAATCATGAACATGCTAGACGGACTTAACCAAACTTCCCGATCTTATACATTGTCCCTTTGCACCTGCTATAAGAAAGATGATGATACTGACTTTCCTTACAGATCTGTCACAAGTAACTAGATAATGCCCATAATTTGCTCTGAACACCTGAAAGTGTTATATGCACCCCAATTGTGGCAGCTCCAGATAAAACAGCCAACCCAGTCACCCTTGGCAATTTGGAGCTTCATACGTCTTATCTAGAATTCCATGTTGGTGAGCAGGCTAAATGGAGGCTAGCCAGGTCATTCTGTTGCTTTTCCACCAACCCGTTTAGTTTCCATCCGAGCCAAGGCAAAAACACTTTCCTTTGTAACCAGTATGGAAATGCAAGCTACTAGCTTCTTAACAGGTTAGTGAAAAAAAAACATTGCAGGCTCACAACTTTTGCAGCCTATTAACTTGCTAGGATGAGTTAGTAGTCTTGTTCCCTGTTGATATATGACAATTGGAATTACTGACAGGTTAGTATGGACCCTGGCCTGCAGGCACCTCTTTCCCAGGTGCCAGTAGATCTAAGCTCATGTGGTCATAGAGAGTCTGTGGAGAGGAAGGGTGTGGGTCATCATAGTCCTGCCTGACTCAAAAATGTCTCTCTTTTCACATAGGAGGTCTGTCTGCGGTCGAGACATTCCAGAAAGGGCTGGAGGAACTCATGGGTGTCTGCCAGCATGTGCTTAGCACATTTGAGGTGCTTTGTTTCATTCTTTAACAGCGAGGTTGATGATTTGATTATTTAAGGCAGGCCCGGGCAGCAAGTAGATCTCCAGATGTTTTGGACTTTACCTTCCAGCTTTTGTGACCATGCTGGTAAGTGCTTATGGTTCCAAACATCTGGAGATCAGTCCTCTGCCCATCCCTAATTAAGAGTGCAGATGCTTTAACCTGGAAAAGACATGATACCTATCTTCACACATCTGTGTCCATAACAGCAAAAGGAAGGCATGATAGCCATCCACCCACCTGATACCTGTCATACAGTCCTTTGCCAGGATATTGCATTCTGTTCTTCCACATTCCACTTGAGTTTCCCATTCCCCACCCAAAGCCAGTCAATATTCAGTTCCACTGAGAACACTCTGTTCTGATCAGGCTGTTCTGGGAATCACTGTCCCAACTAGCACTGGAGTTTATTCCTAAAGATTTTTTGGATGTCTGCAGACTTCATTGTTTCCTTTCTTTCTATCTATCACACCACTCCTCACCCCACCCCACCCCACCCCCATCTTAATTTGTCTGCCTTGGTTGTATGAAGAAGGTTTAGGATAGGTTATGTTACTCTGCTGAGAGACAGCTGAAAGAAGCTCTCCCTGAAGTCTGGGCTAACCCTGATTGGGGATGATGTAGTGCCAGATAACCTGCACTAGCAAGAGATTTTTCTAGAAGGCATTTGAGGTCCCTTCCCCTCCATGATTGTATGTTCATCCCTCCCTGAGGTCTCTCTTTATCTTGCAGGCAAGTGTGGATGAGTACAAGGCCAAGCTGGATGTAAACATGGTGTAACTGTACCAGTGCCAATGTGATGGGCATCTCTGTATATAATGACTGGATTGGGAGTGTGTCTTGTGTGAAGGACATTTATTTATGGATTTAAATGCATTTTTCTAATAAATGATGGGTTATGAAATCCTTATGCTCAGTTCAGGCTTAGTACGTGACTGGAGTGTTGAGAATTCTGTTTTAATTCTGTTTTAATTTAATTATGTAAATGGTTGGAGAGACGTTGAGCAAATTTGTAAGCATCAGAAAAAGGAGAATGTTGATAATCACCCTCAATTCTCACAGTTTCTCTAGCAGTCAGTATTCACCAGCAACTTTGATTTTTAGTGAGTGCTAGCAGAGTATAGTCTTTATCTTTGGATGCTCACGAAATACACATTTTAATCTGCAATATTTCCAAATTGCAGCCAAGAAACAAATGCATTTCTTACTGTCTGTATGCATGTATCTTTCTATATCGCACTCAGAAAAATGGTGTCAGACTGTGTGGAGCTTCGCTTGTGCGTATCCATTTAAACTCACTAGGTAAATATAAGAAGGGAAAGGATTCCAGTGTGGCCAGACTGCAACTCCCAAATCCCCTGCCAGTGCACATTTAGTTTCCCAGCATGAGTTGATCAACAGCATAACAAAAATGGACACAGCAGCAAAAATCCTGCAGTGTCTTCAAGTGATGGAGTTTCCTCTTGTGTCCTATTTGGAAAATGTGGTGCTTCACTTTAGCATTCTTAGTGACTGAAAAGAGTGTTCTGCTCTATGTGCAGCTGTGCCTGGAGATCACTGTCTCGTCCCAACACATCCGAGGATGCTTGATGATTCCTCATTGTACTTCATGCACTGGAAATGCGACTGTGCCGTACGCAGCACTCCTGTGCACGATCACCTCCACATGCACATAGCGTGGAGTAAACTGGGAGAGGGAATGCCGAGGGTGCAAACTGTTCAGTGTGCTGTACCCTCTGCTGGGTAAATTGGGTTTACCCAGCAGATAAATTACATCTCGGGCCTCTGAGGTTTGAACCTCATTGCCTATCCCACGTCCAAGCATAGATCCACTGTGAGGAGGACTAGGAACTTGGTTTTTCTGAGGGAGAAATAGAGAGCAAACAGCCTAGCAAGCTGGCAGTATCCTGAACCTGAACTGGGTGCTTCTTTCCACATGGCTTCCTTTTTCTACCCTCCAGTGGAACAGAAACAGACTTCATACCCAGTGCAAAAAGTACCCAAGCGATTGCAGTACATACACAGTTGCATTGCTAGCAGTAACATGGACTGAGAGCCACCCAGCACCCAAACGAGGCCCGGAAACAAATGACCCTCTGAAAAGTGGGGAATGTGGCTCTGTCCCCAGTGTGGGGCAGGAATAGGGAGTGACCTCAGTAATCCAGTTTAGATTCTCGAGTTAGTGGATAGGACCTACAACTTGGCCTGCGACCATGGCCTTTCTGAAGACACTCCAGTCTGGCCCCCATAACAGCCCACTAAGACTTCAGTGGAGAAATTCGGACCCTCCTACACACTTGGCTTCTTTGTTTCCCAGTGGCCCTTTGGGCTTCTGAAAACCATGGGATTCCCCTCGGTGTCTACTGTTGCCAATCGTGTGTGTGTGTGTTGGGGGGATGCTTGTTAATTTCATAAGTAAACACAACCTACATGTCCAAAATAGAAGGAGTGGTAGGATAAATGTCATCCAGAGAAAATAAAGCAGGCGCAACTAATCAGGTTGGCCTGGCCTGGCACTGGGTTCTGCATTCTCCATTTGGCCATGAAGCTTACTGAATATTATGGGAATGGTTACTCAGTCTTAGCCTGGCCTACCTTGCAGGGTTGTTAGGGCAAATCAAAGTGCAGGAAGACTGGAAACTGCCGTGTGTTCCTTACAAAAAGAAGAAACTAGTGGCTAGAAATGCAGTGCCATCTCTGGCAGTGACAGGAGCAGGGAGGCCCACAGGGGCAAGCTGATGGGAGTTGAAGTCAAAAACATCTGGAGGGCAACCGGCTGGGGCAAGCGGATCTAAGTTCCACATAATGTGTAAAGGGCATATAGCATATTAAATAATTGTATGACTTGGCACCAATTCATCTTGTTTATTTAAAAAAAATGAATAGTAAAAAATTGTGAGGTGCAGGATCCAAACCAAATGTCACCTCTTTGCTTAGAGGAGGAAGGCCTGGAGCCCACACGCGGTGGCTACAAGGTGGAAAGCATGGAAGGAAAAATCTGGGAAGGAGGAGGATTGGCTAATACAGGGAATGTTTTCCTTCCCTCTGCAACCACTGTGCAGGCCTGCCACAGCATCCCTGGCTCTGCCCTGTTTCACACCCTGTTTCTAGGCAAATGGGTGAAGGAAGGGAGCACACAGTAAAGCAGCTGGCTAAAGTCGGTTTGGGTCACAGCAGGTTCAGAACCTCAGGTGGACTAGCAGGGTCTGACCCAAGAGCCTAGAGTGACAGATGTGTCCATCCCCAGGGCGGTGGAGCACTTCTGGAACCATGTCCTCTTGAATTGATACATTATGCCTTCCAAAGGTTCGTCTTCTTCCCCATACTGGCTACTTCTCGGCATGGGTCGAAGAAAGCTTCCCAGGGTCTCCTTGGGAGAGGCTGAGGGCCATTCCTCAGCCGCAAAGGCAAGTGAGGCTTGCCTTGGATCAAGTGGGAAGTGGTTCTAATTCCTCCTGTGCAAGAGACCAGGTGGCTTAAGGTCGATCTTGGAGCTTCAGGAGGAAGGAAGCAGGAATTTTCTGTACTGGCCAATTCCTTCCCCTTCCAGCTATCTATCCACATGCTTCCAACAACCTGCACTTCACTTCTAGCCCTCCATTCCCTCCTACTTTATGGAGGGAAGGAAGGAAGGGGGCTGGGATCATATGTGATGCAGGCAGAAACTTGGAGCCAAGAACATGCAACCTTCAGTCTGACTAGAACGTAATCATTTGATGGGCTGTTCGTCTGTTCCAGCCAGCCAGTTCTGATGAAATGTTTAGAGGGGCTGGGCTGGGCTGGGTTAAAGAATGAATAAGATGTAGAGGAATATCAGACGTGGAGCGATCCTTCACAGGGTTGCCTCTGGTGCTGGAGATGGAAGGGATGGTTAGCCTGGGAGGTGGAAGGGGAATACAGCAGAGCGATTCAAGAGCAGCACCGGGAAACCACAGCTGGCCATCTTCATAATCCTGGTGCAGCTTCTACTTCCAGTTCATGCAGGTGTCTAAGAGGAACTGTACTTGTTGCTCAGCGGGGAGCTACTCTGGTCGAGGCCCAGTTCCTGCTCGTGGGCTTTCCACTTCCCAAGGGAGCCCTTGTCGTCTGTTGGGACGATGCCAATAGCTGGTCTCTGGCACCAGCAGCAAAGACACGACTGTGAGAAACGACCCGGAGAGAAAAATGCAGTTAGGTCTCAAGAAGGGCCAGCTCATGGAACCCAGGGTGAAGACATCTCTGCCATGCCACCCCCACCCCACTAGGGGGCATCCTTTCCCAGGCAAGCTACTGGGAAGTAACATTCAGGCCAAATCAGTACAATCTTTTAGGATGCTCACAACCGGCCGGGGCTGTTTTACACTGAACTCTGGATGTTAAGGGTGCCTTGGAAAAAAACGTGCAGCTAGACTTTCAAGACCAACACATCTGGAGGGAAAGCTTAAACCCTTCTTTCCTGAAGTGTCATGCTCCTGATCCAAACCGGCGGAGTGGGACAGCAAAGAGAAGTAGGAATATGGAGTCTGGCCTGAAGATGGGAAAGTTTTGCGTTTATTTCAATTCTAGGACAGCTTTAGCATCCCTTTTCTCCACAGTTCACAAAAGCAGCAGTAAGCCATCAGGGAATGATTATTTCCCATGGTGCTGTTTGTGCATCGAAATCTGTGCTAAGCAACTTGGTACCTTCCAGACCATTGGTTCCCAACCCGCACAACCCCTGATGCTGGCTGAAGCTGAAGGGAGTTAAGTCCAACGCAGTTGGACAGTTGTCCCCCATCCCTAATCTAAAGAGCCCATGTACAAAGGACAGAAAAGGGACTTTTTGAGAGAGGAAGGAAGCAGTCTCAGGAACATTTTCCACTACTTCCTGTAGTTGCCCGCCATCTTGCTCACACTCTTTCTTTTAGAAACTGGCCCCCTGCTCCTCCATGAGCTGAGCCACGCTCCTACCTGGAAGCAGTTCTTAAATTTCCGGCTAACAAAGTAGAGAGCCACTGGATTGATGCAGGAGTTGAGGGAGGCCATATTAATTCCAAAATAGTCCATGACCAGGAGGAAGCTGGGTGGGGAAGAGAAAGGGAAACCAGTTAGGTCAAGATATGGCTGAGCACAAAATGCTAGCAAAGCAGAGGCATGATTCAACTCTTGGCTACTTTCAGCTTGATCCAACATCCAGCAAGAAGAGGACATCGTAAAGTCATAGTGATGCACAGCCCCTGTGTGGAGAATATTCCCAGAATCTCTAGTTCATGAATTTTGGATACTTTCTCCCATGCAAGCATTAATAGAGACCTCAGAAGCCCTGTTTTAGGCACTCTCTTCTTTGCTGTTTTTCACCACCTTGAGCTACTGGATGATTATGTTATGTTAGTCATGAAGTCACATCTGACCCATTGTGACCTCATGGATGACATTCCTCCAGGCCTTCCTGTCCTCCACCATCCCCCAGAGTCCACCTAAGCTCACGACGACTGCTTCAGTGACTCCATCTCGCCTGGGTGATACAGAAATTAAATAGGAAAGAATGCATGATGGAATGATTGATGGCAGGGGCCGGATGCAGTGATACAGTGGTCAGTTTGATGTTCAAGAGCTCATGTCAGCACAGGGCTGTTGAACTTCCAATATCAACAGTGGCCGTCTACAGCCTGGAAGGAAAATAGGCAAAATGGGCAGAGGAATTTGGAGGAAGCTCATTATTTCTCCTGTCCTTTCCCCCACAGATTTTTTTTAAAACAAACAGCAGAGGTGGACCTCACCCAATAGTCTCTGTTCTCCCTAAATTTCCACCCCCACAACTGTGCAATGATGTGATAATGTTTGGATGGATAATTTTTCCGTCTCTGTGCAATAACTCAGAATGGCTGGGCCACCTTCCCTATGGGATCTGAGCGTCTAAAGAATCATACTTCTTATATGGACCTACTTGCATGTTGCATATGTTGGAGGAAGCCCTGCTCAGCTTTGCACTCACCTGCACTTAATTTTGCATCCTCTCAGGTGTGGAGGGTGCAGTGCTGTGATTTCCGAAAGAACCCCAACTATGGAGCTCCTTGCCGCATGAGAACCAACTATCCCCTTCCCATTGCTTGTTTAAGTGCACCTCTTTAATTCATTTTGACTTGGGTTTGGCAGCCGATTTGGTATTTGCTGCTATTTGTTGATTTGACATCTGGCTGCTTTGCTTTATTATTTATAGTTGGCTTGCTGCAGTTCTACTGTGGTTGTGTGATGGCTGCTTGCTGCCCCGAGAGCCCCAGTTGTGTTGAAAAGGCAGAATATGCTGCTGCCAATAAACAAACCAAAATGAAGTCACAAAGCTGATGGCGGAGCCCTGGGGCCCGAGAGCTCCTTGCCAGCACCAGGGACAAAACAGGCATTCCTTACCTAAGCAGCTCACATCTATCCGCATCTTGTGGGTTATAGATGGTTTTCTTGAGGATCCTGCTGAGATGCAAAGGCAGCCAGCAGAGGGCGAAGATCACCACCAGACAGAACACTGTCTTGGCCACTTCCCGCCGCTGCAACCCAAGTCCAGCCATCGCGGTTAACCACGGAAGGGGTGGGGAAGGCAAACACAGCAGCGAGAGCGTGTGAATAGTGCAGAAAGGCCCCTAAACCACCTCAGTCTCCCCAAAGCCCCTGCTTTGCGCTTTGTCCCGCTCCACAGCTGTCCTTCCATGACATTTCTCCATCGCCCACAGGTGGGACACCTTAGCCCGTGGGGCAAGTGCAGCCTTCCTAGGGACCCAGTCCAGCCATCTGAGGTTCCCTGTCTACCAGCCTCCAATTCCCCACCGGTTGGCAGTTTCCTGAATCTTATGCAGATCTGTTCCCATTCCTGAAGGCTGACATGCTCTCCTAAAGTTTAGTTCCTGTCAGTAAGATTCTCACACTCAAAGGAGCTGGAAATTTCCGTAACTTTGGCCTTCATTCCTTTCCTCCCTACAGGATCTTCACTGAAAGGGGCTTTGATCCTCAGGATCAAAGGCTGTGCACCCATGGTTGGATCACAGTTGGATCACAGTGAACTGGACTGACCATTTGACTGACCTCGTACAATAATCTACACTCGGGATTCAGCGTTGGTGGTTATTGAAATATGGGTTATCACATCCACACCTGGCTGCACAAACAAACCTCACTTCACAACTCAACGACAAACCATGGGTTCTCTTCATAGGTTTCATGGATCAGAAACATGATAACCCACAGGTCAACAACAACCCACGCACAGACCCTTTGCTGTTATTGTGTTGTCTAAACCTGTCGGTGTGAGTAAGGGTCCTATGTCTGGTTCCTTGTGTGGCAGCCAAAGCTCACCCGCTTCATGTGGTCGTTGAGCGCAAGCCGCATGCCGTTCCTTTGGCTCAGCATCTCGCACGACATGAGGGAGTAGAAGACTCCAGTGCAGGCTAGTGGCAAGCAGAAGTAGAAGCCAAAGAGCCACCAGTCCTTCACATCCTTGTAGAACTGCCAAGAGAAGGGGTGGCGTGGTGAGGACCACGGCCTTGCCTCTCAAGGGAGTCGCTTTGCTGAGCAGACATCGCCCTTGCAAAAGTGGGAAGGTCGGTTGCCCCCTGCCAGCATGGCCCCATGTCCCCTGCAGAATCCATGGAAACTGCCTGAACGTGTTAGGTAGCGGGGCACAAGGGCCACCTTCTGGTCCTGTGTGGAAGCAGCAAATTCATGGAAACTGCCTGAACGTGTTGGGTAGCAGGGCAAGAGGGCCACCTTCTGGTCCTGTGTGGAAGCAGCATCCGGTTGACCATGAACTTTGGTCTGATGACGCATGGGAAGGCAAACACCGTTGGGTCAAGAAGTACGCGTGCGGTTGGCCAGGATCAGTGATGTAGTGGTGAATTTCATGGTGGTCCCACAGCCTTGCACCCAACTGCGGGCAGCTGCTTCTCCCTCTGTGTGTGCATTCTATAACGTGCTCGCTGAGCCTGGATTATTCTTCCAGGACCTCCCCAGAATACTTCGTATTACAACAGGGATTGTTTCTGGGGAAAATGCATGTTTCCACCAGCCAGTGCGAGGGTGGTAGCTTAGCTCAGAGGGGATTCTGAGAGGAGTAGCAAGGACATCAGTGCCCCTGTTAATAACCATGGGCTGATGTGGTGTCCCAGGAGCTTCGAGTCCACTTCCCTGCTGCATAGCCCTGAAATGGAGCCTGGCATGAGATGAGCTTCCAGGATGCATGGCTCTGACCTTCAGTGTTGTCCCCGGGGAGACAATGCAGGTGGGGAGAAGCATTCAATGCACATGGGACTATTAGTTCTGCCTGCCCCCCACCCACCCGGGCCAGGTTCATCATACCATCATGAAGGCAGATTTCTGTTCGGGGGCCAGCATGCAGACCCAGTGCATCTGCTCATGGTAATTCAGTTGGACCAAGTCAAAGGCAACAGCTTCAGGAATGGCCAGGACCACGGCAACCGCCCAGATCAGGAATACCTCCACGGCTTTCCACATGGGGATGCCAATCCCTTGGATCCGGCTCCAGGAGGCAACAGCTCGGTACCTGCACAACCGCCCGGGGGAAAAGGCACAAGTGATAAAGCTGCTCCCGACTCTCAGCTCCTGCACAGCAGATGGAGGAAGGATGCTGCAGAAGCGACAGCAGTGGCGGGCAGGAGACTGCCTCATGGCACCAGCAGCCTTAGGTGGGCGAGCTAGTTAGGGATGAGCAAGGTTCTTGGGCCTGCCACACTGCACCACACGGGCTTCCTTTTGAAGTCGAAGGCGGGATATGCTGGCTTTAACAGAAAGGTCTCAAGCTGAAAAATGGGCGCAGGACAGAAGCCCATTCCCTACCAAGGACCCTCTTGCCCAAAGAGGATGGTGGGCTCTGCCAGGCATAGTGCTTCCACGGCACCCTTTTCCCTACCTCTGTTATAGTCACTGCAACAAGATCAAAGGCTGGAAAGGAAAGTTGATTTTGGACACAGCCTGGGGTCTTCGGGGGTACCCATGTGCGCCGCAGTCCCAACTGCTGGGTTGGTTAGTTGGCGGGCCAGCAAAAACAAAGGCCTATGTACCCCGAGGCATGTACAGAAGTTTGGTTTCGGTCTGTTTGCCCCATGTGCAGCCCTGAACAGGACCATGCAAACATCTGGCAGAGGTGTGATGCTCATTCCACCAAATGCAAACTTGATAAAAATGCACTATTTTGAAATGCTTATTCCCATACCTTAGTCGATGGGGGCAAAGTACGCATGTGGGCCCAGGCATTCACATTTGAATGAAGAGTGTGGGGCAGCTCCCAGGCAAGAATGGGAAGGAAGAGGATTGAACCTCAGAATGGAACTTGGGGAACCTCAGTGAAGTTCAGTCTCGCCCATTTCCCATCCATATTTGCACTGCTGCTCCCCCACCCAAAAGAGACAGGGAACAGCTGGACCAGTTTCATTTTGTTGTTTTGTTCCACACTTGCTATAAGGGTTCAGAAGAGGGTGGTCATGAGACTGACTCCAGCGTCATAATGGGGAATCCGAGCAGTCTTATGTTCCTTGAGACTGTCACCCAGGAACCATGGGATTGCTCTCTTATCTTTACAAATCTCTAGTAAAATGGCCCTTTTGTAGAGATAACATTTCAAAGGAAAATGCACAGAATCTTCTGGAGAAGACATTCGAATCCTGAAATTTGGTTAAACTTTAAATTGAATCCACTTCCCCTACAGATGCTGGCACTGAAATAGATAGTAGTTCCACTTTTGTCACTCATATCTTCAAAGAGGAAACTTGATCTCAAAATTCACATCATCCATTGATTGCTTATTTTTGCGGGATGCATTAATGGATGTCATGAAATCATAGAATCATGGAACAAAAGAGCGGGAAAGCATACTGGGCCCAGTCTCCTGCTCGGTGCTTGATTCCAAATTAAACCGTCCCTCTCAGATGGCTGTCCAGTTGCACCTTGGATGGCTCCAGTGTGGGAGAGCCCACCACCTCCCCAGGCCACTGTTTCCATTGTCATACTGCTCTCACACTCAGGAAGTTCTTCTGGGTGTCCAGCCAGAACCTGGCTTGCTGTAACTTGAACCTGTTATTTTGTGTTCTGCACTCTGGGATGATCCAGAAGAGATCCTGGCCTTCTTCAATGTGACAGCCTTTCAAGTCCTTGTAGAGGGCTATCATATCTCCCCCTTACTCTTCTCCTCTTGAGGCTAAACATGCCCAGTTCTTTCCATCTCTCCACACTGGCTCTGTTGCCTTTCCCTGGACCATCTCTGTTGCCCTCCTCTGAACCCTTTCCAGCTTGTCTGCCTCTTTCTTAAACTGTGGGGCCCAGAACTGGTCACAGCACTCCAGATGAGGCCTGACCAGTGCTGAGCAAAGGGGAACTAGAATATCATGTGACTTGGAAGTGGTGCTAAGACATTGAACAGCACTGCACGCTGCCTATGAGATCCAGGCAGATACTAAATGCTTTTAGGTGTCAGCTATCAAAACTGCCAAATAATAAATACATAAACTAAATTTGTTGGATGACAAATACGGATGTTTCTAGTATTTGGTGACTATTTTGGCCATTCTGCTAAAATGTATGGACTACATGTGGCATCCACATTTTCAGGAGACAACTTCAAAGAACATTTTTTGAGTGCAAACTCATATCTGCTTTAATGTGTGCTGAATGCACTGATAATTAACCTAAATCTATGAAATAAATCCATTTCCCACTCTTTCAAAACCTTTAAGGGATGACTGCTGAATGGCAGACTTTATGCAACCTGACCTAGATGTGGGGCCCAGCCAAGGGAAGAGTCAAGCATACTAAATGGGAGGTGACAAAGGTGGCCCGTTACCTGTCGATGCTGAGAGCACAGAGGCTCAGGACGGTGATGCCAACAGAACCCTTCTGAATGAATGGCACCAGCTTGCACACCTGCACACCGAAAGGCCAGTCTTCTGCAAGGAGCTGGATGGAAAGGAGGCACATGGTTAGCAGGTCATCTTGGAGGAGAACTGCCTTTCTTCGCCTAATGAGCCTGCGGAAGCTCAGTCTCTCTTCACAGCAAGGTTGCAGAACCTCAGGCCCTGGGGACCAAACTTACATTATGTGGGACCAATGCCAGCAAAGGTGTGGCTTTCCCCCCAACTTCACCCCACCCCCTGCTTAGGTCCACCCTCAGGATAAGGGTGCTATCCCATCCCTACCTAGTTTGAGGAAGGACAAGGTAATTAATAAATAAATAGTATGTTTTAATCTTGTAAGCCACTCAGGGAGCCTTCTGGCTAATGATGCTGGATAAAAATCCTATAAATAAATGATTGATTGAGTGATTGATTGATTGATTTATGCTCCAAGGACAGCCAGGTGTAGTATATTTGTTTGCGTTTGCGTTGCTTGTGCTTGTGTGTTTGTATATTTATATTCTACCTTTTCACCTGTAGGGAATGTAATCCTCACAGCAACCTTCTGAGGTAGCTTAGTCAGTGGCTGACCACAGTTGCTCAGTGACATTCTTAGCCAGGTGCGGGGCAGGAACCTGGATTTTCTGAGTCCCAGTCCAACATGCTAGCCACGAAACCAGCCTAGCTCTCAAGACTGTCAGTGTATATTATCCTGGTTGCATGATGGATTGCCAAAACAGTTGGCTCCTGGTGCAGGGACTTGCTAGGAGGAATCTAATTACGACATGCCTGATGGATACTAATTGTGCTTTTGTTTGTTGAGGTATAGTTACATATGCAAAGTCTGGGGCTCAATTTCAATAGGATACATAATAATTTTCATGGTATATTTTTCATGGTTTTGAGACAGAACATTGCTTTTATTTCAAAGCAGTGGCATGGGTGCCGCTGGGGTTGTTGTGAATTGTAGTCCATTATCTCTGGAGGACACTGGGTTGGAGCAAGCTGATTCACTTAAACTAGTCTAATCATGTGTCTCTTCCTTAACTCTTTTCCGGCCCTTTCTTTAAAACTGAGAATAGTTTCTGCCAGAGCTGAGCACTGCACCAGTGAGCTGGCTGTTCCCCTAGAATAAGTCACTCCACGGAATCCAGGAAGGAGACAGGGAAGGGCACACATTTAATTTCTGTTAATTTTCTTGTATATGAATTTACCAAATTGACAAAGTTTCCTATTTTCTGGAAAAGAGAAAGTGCAAATATAAAACATTTGAGCATAGGAGAAATCAAAATTAAGGGGTTCATCCTACCAGGCTCAAAGCTCTAAGTGCTAAATTCTTAAAAGTCAGGATTTAAATCCCTGCGTCTTTTATTTCTTTATTTCATGCCTTTATTTACTTTATGCAAAATATGTCTGCAGTGCTTTGATGGGACTGCTATCCCCTTTCTCTAACAGGCACCTTTGACTGCTATCCACCAACATTCAGTCCAGGTACCATATGAATTCAGCTGTTGAAGGTAGGTGAGGGTTTCTATTTGTTTATTTGCAGGAAGAACATACCCAGCATTTGCACTTTTCTTTATATACATGATGCAAAGAAGCTGAGGTTTGAAACATTCAACTATGGAAGAAAGTCAGATTGACAGATTTGCCCACCGCCAAGGAAATACGGAAGCTGGCAGAAATTTCAGGGCAGAATCCAGTGGGTGCTCAAGCCAGCCAGTTCTGCTGTGTGAACGGGCCTCGTGCATTGGCAATGTCAGACTTCCTGGTCAACCTGAAATGACCGCAAATGCTTGTTCTGGAAGGAGGCAGATCAGTACACAGTGCCCACATGAAGGACCCCCCGTGACATTCTGCCTTCCAGAAAGGAGGATCTTTGCTTATTTTGGACGCTTCCTAGGAAGCACTAAGCCCCCTTTGCAGGAGCAAAGACCCTCAAGCTGGTCTTGCCTGGATCCACCCTACACAGAAGATAACTGGGGCAGAAAAGTATCAGCAGGGGCATATGTGAACCTCGCCGCAAAAGGGAACTCCCCCGTGCCCTTGCTTCATGCATTCGCAATGGCTTTGACTCCCCGCCAAGGCTCCTCCTGACCCATTTAATCAGGAGACACTTTGGCTCAGATCCAAAACAACTTGAAACATCTGAGGGGGCCTGCACAAAACAGATGCTTCCCACAGATCTATTTTGCCCTGGAGGAGACCCTCCCCACTTGAAGACTCATGAAGGCCTGGTATTTTGACCTTTCTGACAACTGACCAACCTCTGTCTCATGAACTGCACAACAGTGGTGCCATTGTATGTTTCGTAGCTGTGCAAAAGACAGTAAGAAAAGCTGCAGCTGGATGGAAAAATGGGTAATCCTATTAAGATCCTGGATGCTTCTGAGCTCCCCTCCTTCTCGATACTGAGTCCGGGTTCATGTTGGCCTGTGTCACATGAGCCCCTCATCGCTCCAAGAGTGTTCCCAGCACCCCCGAAATCCAGAGGCAAAAGGAGATGACGGAGGCACTAAATTGCTGCTGGAACACAGAATTGTCTTCAAGCTAAATGAGGCCCGTTTGGGTCCCTGCAGTGACAAGTCGCTGACTTCGGATGGCAGGGCACCGTTTCCTTTTTGTTTTTTGTTGTCGTGGGCTGCACAGGGCAGGATCGTGGCTGCCGGGAGGGTCTGGGGCTATAAATGGCCTGCAAGCCACCTTTGCAAACACAGCAGGTGGCAGACTGCAGTGCACAGGTGTGAGGGTACAAGTTGTACATGACCAAAGAGCACTAAAAGGGTCAGAACAACCTGAACACAAGCTAGGTTTTATCCTCTTGGTGTTGCACAGTGCCATATGTATGATTTACTTTTTCTTTTTTTACATTCTGGCAGGCAGCAGGTGCTGGCAATGGGGCTCCTCGGCAGTGTGCAGACTGCACGTTGCCATCATTTTCTGCAGAATTGTCTTCTTTTTACAAAGAGATTAGGGGTTCTTAATTTTCGACTTTGCTCGTTGCAGATGGTGCATTAAAACTAAATGCTTCTCCAGCACTGCCCCCTGCTTGGTGCCCTTTTCAGCTTGGAGCTCACAGCAAGTGCCCAGTTTGTCTACCCCAAGCCAGCCGGGCACGTACCTTATACACATTGATGGGCAAAGCAATAAGGATGTAGAGAAGGTCCCCCAGGGCCAGGCTGGCAATGAGGACGTTGGGGCCATTCCTCATGCATTTGTTCTTGTAGATGATCCGCAGCAGGGTGGAGTTTCCAAGGATGCCCACGATGAAGATGGAGCAGGAGACAAACGTGTTGATGTACTTAAAGGCACGCCGGATTTCAGTCGGCCTCGTGCACATGACGGGCAGCAGAGGGGCCTCTATGACTGCATCCCCCAGGAGGCCCTCAGATTGGTTGCAGATGGTCCCAAAGCCTGGGAGGATGCCTGGCTGGATGAGGCTGTGTGCTGAGCCTTGGTCCAGAGCTGCAAAAGGAATGATGCTGTCCCTGAAGCTGCTGGCTGTCTGGCTGGAGATGCTCAGGACGAGGGAGCTCAGACAAGAGGCCAGCAGCAGAGGAGGGGGAAGGCTGCCCATTGAGATGGAGAAGTAAAGTTCAAGTCCCACCAGAGTTTAGTGTGGGTCAACAGGTTAAAAGTGTCTCCTGGCAGCTCCTGGCCCTACCTGCAGAAAGAAGGCAAGGAATCGACATTACAGGACATAAGCTACTGAATTTGGTGGCGTAGTTTTGCTTAGGAGCATAAGGACCAGAGAAAGGGTCCCTCTCATCCAGGCAGGATGTGGAAGCAGCAACACCCTCCGGCCTGTTAATTTAATGTCCTTATGAGCAAATATTTTAGTTCAAATATCTGAAAGCTATTGGGAAAACTGTTGATATATATGGCCCATAAAACTGGGATGAACTCTGTTCAGACCAGTTTTCTAAAAAGGAGCTATTTTGTGTGCTTATTGAGGAAGAATGCGAGTTGGGAATTAAGAATTGAGTCAACTGAGCCCTGGAAAATTTCCTAGTTCTACTTCTTCTGAAAAGCTATATCGCTGAGTGGAAGAAAGACAGGCAGACCAGTGGAAAGGAAAGGACCTCTGCAGCTCTCAGTCTTATCTTGTGATGCTGCATCCACAAAGAAGGACTCTCAGTCATTTTGGGGCATGAGGGGCAGCGGGGGAATTGCCTGGAGTCCTAATACCAAAGTCCTATGACCTCAGCGCTTGTATGTCAAATGCTAAGTCTCTGCCCTGCCCCCTCTCAACTGGTGCAGAGAAAAATGTGGTTGCCCTCAGCTCTCAAAATCACAACAGGGCCTTGGAGAGGGGAAAAGGGGGTGTGCCAAAGAGGAAGAGGCTGGGGCCATGGAGTTGCACCGATTCCAGTCTGTGTCTCCTTCTCTCCCTGCTTGCTGGCTCCAACTTTAGAAGGCTGAAAACTGATTCCCAGATAAAACGCAGGGGAGGCGGGGAGGAATGGCTGCTACTGCACCTTGCATTCAGTGCTCACCCACCTCCAGGTTCAGAGGCTTATGAGCATCTGCTGCTATGAGGCTATACGACAGTGTCCAGATTCAGCTTCAGAAAGGGCAGATCCATTCAGGTTTAAAAACAAGATAGGCAAAGCAAACGACATGAAATTTTGGGCTTTGGACTTCCTGGATTTTTTGTTTCAACGGATGGGGATACATTACTGAAATGCATAAGTCAATAAGCTAAGTGAAGAAGTGGTGAACTATTCCAATCATGCAGACACCTGGCATTTTTCTTCAGAAAGTCTATGAAATTTTGGGCTTTGGACTTCCTGGATTTTTTGTTTCAACGGATGGGGATACATTACTGAAATGCATAAGTCAATAAGCTAAGTGAAGAAGTGGTGAACTATTCCAATCATGCAGACACCTGGCATTTTTCTTCAGAAAGTCTATTGCTACAAAACATTTTAGCTTTATTAATTTTAGAGCACTTTACCTGTGGCAATTCTCTCTCCCCTAGCTCTGTCACTCCAGTGCACTGTGCAGATATAGGCATTAGGATAGGTATTCAACTTCTTTTAAGCTGCTGGTTCCATTGACAAAGTAATGTGTTGACAACATACTGGTTTGTTTGTTTGTTTGTTTGTTTGAGCAAAAAGGAAAAGCAACTCACAGTACTCTCAAGTATGGGATGCATGGGATTGAGAACTACTCATTTTCTGAATACCTCGGAAATTTCTTCTCTCCTCCTTTCTCTCCCATCACCATCTTCCAACTGCCAATCACCCAGTTTCCCACCACTGCCCAAAAAGTTCCCCTCTCTTCCCTCAAACTCCCATTTCCCTCCTTCTTACTTGAACTTTTCATCTATCTTTTCTTACTTTTCATCCATCATGAAAACCCCTCCAGGCTCAAGTCCCAAACATAATTCATTATTTGCTTCATACACATCCCACTTTTCTGCCAAAAGTAGGGCATCCTAAAGCATCTAACAATAAAATACACATTTAAAACAAAATGAAACAAGATCTTAATTAACATGCAACATTAAAACAAATATATTAAAGGTGCACAATGAAAAACACAATCAGTCCTTATTACCCTTATTGCACTGAAAGGGAAACTGTTTAATCAGGAACATGGCAAATCAAGAAAGAGAGAGAGAATGAGGTAGGTATGGAGGGAGGGAGGGAGAGAATACATCCATAATAGCTGAGTTAGTGAAAGAAAGAGTATCTACATTTTAAACCTGCAAACAGAAAATATAATGAATAGACCACAACCCTAGATATGGCCTCGACCATGAAATATTTCATTAGCTTCCCAGTACTTCTGCGCCATTCAAAACAAAGTTCTCATTTACCCAGGATAGCAGTTCTCCTGCACGATAATCTGGCGGTCTTTGAAGATCAGAATTTAGTTCCAGCCGCTTCTTGTCACTGGTACAAGTGGAGGGAATATTGCTCTCCTGCACAGACCGATCCTGTAAGCTGAAATGTTCCTAAAGCAGTGAGTTGTTTTTATACAGGTTCTGAAGGGCTTGACCCTCCTCTGGATTGAGTAGAATAGCCAATGAGTGGGAGGCCAGAAGACACGAAAGAAGGAAAGAGGTTGGACATGGAAAAACAACATGAGAGATACAGAAACCATAAACAAGTTTATGTGCTTTGGGCAAAATGGAAAGGGAGAAGGAATGAAAAGACCCCCAAAAAGCAACCTCCAACATCATGGGACTAATGCTCTTATGGGAGAATACATTTCTTCTTAGGGACATTTAAATGATTGCTGAGCCCCCTCCCTCAAAAAGTGTGCGTTTCCTATGAAGATCTTTCACCCCTGCAAAATACTATGCACACGCTGTTTATTTATTGACATATATCCCGCCTTTCTATCAAAAATGCACTCATGGTGGCTTACACGTTGAACTGAACAAAATAATAAACTGCATTAAAATATAGTAAAAATAACAATTTCAGAATAAAAGCAAATTTAAAAAGCATCCAATCCTTCATGATCTCTTGCAAGTCAAAGGTCCTCTTGAGTTAAACAATTTTGCCTGCTGATGAAAGGACAGCCAAGAGGCAGCAAACCTGACCTCCCATGGGAGGAGGTCCCATAGCTGGGCAGTGGCCACTGAGAAGGTCACTGTCTCTTGGATCACCAGCAAAGATGGTGGTCTGGAAAGAAGAGCTTCCTCTGTCTGGAGGGTTTTTGTAACACCGCTTGACAGGGACATGGCTGGGTCACCACTTGGACATCACCACAAAAAGGGGACATATCTCATCAGAAAAAGGGGGAGACATCAGTTTGAATTACTCTTGTACATATAGATCTCTAGGTATAGATACAAATTTGAAAATAATTATAATAATTTAAAGAGCAATTATCTCACTGCAGCGGGGTAGGTAGTGACCAGATGTACTTGCCTGTCCAGGTGCTATCTGTGGACAAGCAACTTCAAGAGATGGCCCAATTTTCATCCAGTGAAGAGACCAGGCTGGGAGAAAGCAGAGTTCTAGCCTGATCCTCAGGTGCAATGCTTCAGAAAACCCTTTGCTTTGCAGTTAGAAGGAAGCTCATCATCATAGGATGGGTCACAAATCTGAGTGCAGGTTGCATGGGTCGCATTGTATGTGGAGATGCACCTTTAGAAAGAGAAAGATCTATCTCAACTTTCTCGTGATGCAATTCCTCTCGGAGAAGTGGGAAAGACCATGGCATGCAAGCCTGTTCTGGCTTCCAGCTGCTGACTGGGCCTCCTTTCCCTCCTCATAGCCAGTGTGAGTTGACGTTTTTGTGGGCCCCATGCACAAAATGGCCCACCTTCTCACCACCAGCCCCACCAGCTGCTCTCACCCCTTATCTCCTTCCCATCATTGCGACCATTTGCTTGCTTGACAACCTGGCACCCTCCCGATGTGTTGGATCACAATCCCCGCACTTCCACAGCTGGCTATGGAAGTTGCTCTACTGAAGAACCAGCTGGGGGCATTTCCTGCTTGCCTTTCTTAGCACCGCCATCGTCTGGGCCAGAGTGAGAGGCAGGTGGACGAGCAAGTCGCTAGGGGGAAGAAAAGGCTCTTGCCACCCAGCCCCTGGGAGACCTGCCCTTCTTACGGCCCGGCATCATTGAATTTCAAAGCAACGTTCAGGGACGGAACATGTTCGAATAGGGAATGGTCCTCTGTAAAGTAGGACAGTCACTCTGTCCACTCTGTAAATGTATTGCAATGAATATTTTTCTGCAGAAGGACACTGACCCTAGAAGGACAGGAATTAAAGGAGATGGGAATCCAAGAAGCCTTCTAGGGCTGCTTCAAATATGACTTCCTTCTATGAGCCAGTTCTAGGGAGCTTGAGGACTTTGAACTTGGCCCATTCTGTTTAAATTTCCTGAACCCTTAAATCCTGAACCAGCCTTTCCTAACTTGTTTGCGACTGTCCCAATGGTTTGGACTTGTTGTCCAGATGCGTTGGCCCAAATCAATATGTCCAATAGTCCGAAATGATGGATATTGTGATATTATATACTATATGTTTATATAGATAGATATAAATCTACTTCTGGATTGCATCTGTTTGAGGACAGTTGCGATGAACTACTGTGTTAGTTCAGTCAACGACTGAAATGCCACACTATCAAACTCATCGTAAGTCTGAGACACTCCTTGGTTCTGCTTTGTCTTTTATGGTTTTTCAGAAACGACCGATGAGACATAATGTTTGAATCAAGGAATTCATATGATTGCTTAGCCTGCTGGCCCTTGTGGCTTCTTGGATATTCCAGGGAGATCTGGAGCTTTTGTTTAAATCTACAGTTAGAATCACATCATTCATTCATTGGATAAATTTTAAAACTGGCTTTCTGCCTTGTGGGCTGCTGTGAAATTCTGTTGGTGTCTGCTCCGCTGGCAAAATCCTATTGTCACATGGAACACAAGTTCCCCTGCCGCTAGGAATGCTGAATACCTGCACTGAATTCAACCTTCTTTTGATTTTCCGTCACACAATTGCATTGGCAACTCAAGCTGATCTAGGCTTATGCACCATCGCTGTGAGTTGCTCTTAGTTTGGCCAGCAGTGAGTGCCAATTGCCAGCTACAACATATTGCTAAT